TTTTTGGTTTTTTTTTTTTTTTTTTTTTTTTTTGTACTTGGCGCTGTTGGAGAGTTATTTGGCCCTGTGAAAAAAGGCTATGCCAAGTTGTTCACGCGTAATGTGCCTTCTTGTTGCCTGCTTGATTCTGAGGGGGGACTTGGGTGCCAAAAGTACCGCATCTGATGCAGCTGTATCCTTCCTTGCATCTCGCTTTCTCCGCGTGTATGTGTGCGTGCCTCCGTTTTTTTTTTCCGTGCAGGCCTTTCTTACGTGAAGGATCTCCTGCAAGTGACTTGTGCAGGCTCTACACCGCCCTTTTTCATTGAACTGCTGCTGTTGTCTTGCTTCACCGCCTCTACGATCCGCGTGTTTTCTGTGGGTGGGTAAGCAGGCACGCGGGAGACACAAGGAGTCGGAAAGCAAAAAGAGGAAACATAATAATAGTAATAATACCGGAACACGGCATTGGGGGAGAGTATGTCAAGATGAGCCTTTCCGTCAGTCACAGCTTACAGGATGAACTTCTGGCAGCCTTCCTATTGGTTTTTGACTACATTAGAGGTGTACTACAAACGGGGACTGGCACAAAAAGAGTGAATGGTTTTTTAAAAAACAGCTTTGCACGTGTTGTATGCCGGTGTCTGCCGATTTTTTTTTCTATTGCGCTCCTTATAGTCACGACACTGCGAATGGGAGTCTTAACCGGCAGGGGACATCAACTGCCTTCCGTCAGTCGTTCAAATGAGATGAAAACGAAGTCCACATCTAACACTATTGACGCGCAGAACAACATCAGCGGCACGAATGGTTGTACGAAATGTACCGGCACGTCAATATACAATGAGGCTCGGCGGAACGCAGAAGCCTACTTTGCTCCCCAAAATCAAACAATGGATGATGGCTTTGATGCAGACGGTCACGTGCAGATGTGTCTCAAGGATTATTGTTCCTCTGAATCACCAGAAGCGCAGAGCACTGAGGCTCACTGTCCATAGAGTGTGGAAAAGACCAACGTATATATGGAATGTGTGTTTGTAAAGGTAAGACTGGGATTGAGATAGAATGAAAGGTGCATATATTTACATGTGTGAGTTTTGTTGGATATTGATAGTACGAGCAGAGGTGACTCTGTTTTTTTTTTTTTCGTTGGAGACGTTTTTATGTCATTCTTCTTCATCCTCACATGTAGACAACAGGGAATAGCAAAAGAAAGGGCCTGAAGAGAATTATATGGACCCAACAGTCCCACCGCTCTGTGATGGGGCTTCATTCACTCTTTGCGATGATGACGTGTACGCCTTCGGGGGTGCAGTACCGAAAATTATTTGGTGTTTGCATCTCGTGACACGCACTTGGTACGAGACACCGTGCACAGGCACCGTACCTGCTCCGCGTCAGAATCATGCGGCGGCGAGTTTTGCCGGTAAATTACTTTTGTGCGGTGGGGAACTGCTGCGGGCATCATCTACACAGCCACCGAGGCTCATGCCATTCTACGAGTTATCACTGAACACCTATACTTGGACGCGTATAGACACATTTGGAGCCGTTCCGCTTAATCGATCGCATCACTCCTGTAGTATTCTAGGCGAGAGCATGATTCTGCTTGGCGGCAAACCTGTCCTGAGTCAAGACGAGGGTGCCGTGACAGATGAATGCATGAACGAGTTTGTCCGTGCGGGCTTCTATGACGTGTTTATTCTCGATATAGCCTCTCGTGTCTGGCGGTCGGTGGTTGTGGTTGGCCTGACGCCGCATCTTTGGGGCCACTCCGCGGTGGTGTACGGTGGAAGGTATATTTTAGTGTTTGGCGGCATGGAGGTGGTGACGAATGACACAGTAGCCATCAGTCGTCACAGTAACCCGCATCAGCGGCACGAACCGCCGGTGGCGAAGGTTTCAAATAAACTCTACCTCTTGGATGTGGATCAAATGACGTTGCGTCTTATTTCCCCTGCCCCGAAGTACTCAATATCACCGCGTGCCTTTCATGCCGCCCATGTGGACAGCTGCAAGATGTATGTACTCGGCGGATTGAATGTCAACATACACGGAAAAGTAGCTGTTTTGGATGACTTGTGGGTGTATGATATTATTAAGGGGAAATGGAATGCGATGGACCTTCCCATGCAGTTTCCCGCGGCAGTGCGGAGGTTGTCCTTTGCGTACGACTCGCAGATTGTTGTTGTGCCGAGCATAACTTCCATGTGGTACATGGACGTGCACGAGAAGGCGGCGGCAAGAGCGTGGAGGGAGGTCCTCACATCACACGTGGTGATTGTCGTGCTTCCGGCGACAAACGAGGCCAAGGAATACAACGAGCTTCTCAACCCTAGAAACAGGGCGGTTGATAACGACCCCGCCGGTACTCCTCATGCGGAGGAGATGGAAATATCGCAGTCCGCGCCGGTGTCGGTGGCGCCCAAGAGATTTCCTGTGACGCTCACGACACGAATGAACATGCTTATGGATGAGATTCATCAGCTACGGGAACTTATTCTTGCACACCACAGCCCACAACAGTCTGCATTGCAACAACAGCGAGCAGAAAGGGATCCGCCACCCATGACAGCCACGGAGCGTTTGCAGTATTTGGAGGGCACAAATGGTTCAGTAAAAACGATAGAGAAACGCAAAAGGGATAAAGATAGGCAGAAAGTTTTGGCTAGGCAGAAAGAGCGCATGCTGCACTTAATGCAGCGTCTTGAAAAGTTGTTGCTGCTACCAAAAGCGAGAAATCAAGAGAAAGACCAGCTAACTTTTACGATTGAGCAGCAATTGCTTAAACAGACGTCGGTTGAGGCGCTGAATGGTCCACCCATTCGTCATGTTGCAGAATGCAGTGAGCACGACGCCTCTGTGGGATCTTTTCAACCGCCGCAAGACAATGCCTCGCGGCCGCAACAACATAAAGGATTGGAAACGAATGCAATGAGTTCTCTCAGTAAAGATGAGGGCACCTTCAGGCGTTGGGCGGAGCTTATCGATATTTTAAAACACTCACCATCGCGGCAGTCATCAAAGGCGTTTCAGGCGAGTATCGTTATACTTTAATATGTAGCAATAGCACACAAAAAGCGAAATAGAACGGCAAAATTCTTCTAAGTAATGTCTTGGCGTTGGTGCATCTTAAGTCATTATGTTTTTTTTTTGTTATGGTTTCATTTATGTGTGAAAATTGTTTTCATTGGGACTCTTTTATATATTTTTTTGTTTTGTTTTGAATGCGTATGAGTTGTCCTCCGACACGTATTTGTTGGTGGGTGTAGTGTGTGTGTTTGTGTTTGGTGCCGCTCGCATTTGTGTTAGGCGGGCACATGAAGGGAAGGGGGCACCGCGTGATGAGTGTGCCATATGATGTCTCCGATGGAAGCAGTGTAGCCGACGAGCGGGGTAGGCGGAGTGGAAACAACATCGAGGTGTGTGGGTGCTGGTGGTGACCGAAAGGTCCAAAGAATCAAAAGAAAGAATGAAAAAAAAAAAAAGGATGTATAACCAATTTTTTTTTCAACCATCTCACTCTTTTTCTTCTTTTTTTTTTGTTTGCCTCTTTTTTTACGCCAGGAGTTACCTGAGTGGTGTAAAGGTAAGGGACCGGGAAAAGGAGAAGGAAGTAAACGATAAGGCTTTGTAGCAAAGCCTCTAAGGCGATAAATAAGCGGTTGGCTTAACGTTTTTCCTTTGTTTGGTGTGTGTTGACTGTGTGTATTGTGTTCTGCTTATCCACCTGAGCATCGTCCGGTAGAAATTGTAAATGCAGCACGACGACATTGTTGTTTCATCCACACCGTGCGTGGTGGCGGAGACGGCGGCAATGCCGAGCGAGGACTTTAGTAATCTGCCGCTTGATGCGTTGTTGACGCATAAGAACTGGAAGGCGCGGAGGGAGGGTTTTGAACGGGTGCGAGACAGCCCGAACGAGCTCAAGGCTCACTTGCTGGATAAAAGAAAGAAAATTATGGGTGAGGGCAACGCGGCAGCGCAGGAGGCGCTTTTTGAAGCACTGAGTGCGTTGGTTAATGTTTGCGACGACAACAATTTGAGCATACTCGCGGGTGAGCCCTTAAAAGTGGTGATAGAAAAGGGCATCACCGGGAGACCGCGGGCTGTGCAGGCGAGTTCGAAATTTGTTTTAGATCTTGTCGGGGCCGCCAAACAAACCGAGGTGTTTGACGTTTTGTTACCCGCCTTTTCGCACAAGACACCAAAGAACCGGTTGGCCGCCGCCCAGTTGTGTGCTCGGATTGTAGGTGACTACGGTGTGGCGGGATTGCCTACGAAATCAATTCTGAAGGCCATGCAGCCGCTTTTCAATGACGCCAATGCGCAAGTTCGTAAAGAGGCCGTGTTGTTGTGTTGTCAGTGTTATAAATTTATTGGTGCTGCCATTAAAGGGTTTCTAACCGACCTTCGAGAGGTTCAACTGCAAGAACTGGAGACATTATTTGAGGAGGTGGTGCTGGGTGAGGCGCCACGAAGGAATATTCGTGGCATGCTTTCCACCACCCCAGTCAAGCCCGCTGTGCCCGTGGCACACTTAGTAACGCACAACGGCACCTCAAACGACCTCTCAGATGAGGCGTATGAGCTATGCGATGAAGCACCTGTCTTGTCACGACTTCCTCGTAATTTTTACCGTGTTGCACTGGACAAGAGCGCAAAATGGCAGGACCGCGTTGCAATGGTGCAGGACAACCTCCTTCCTCTCATCGCCGCACCAAAGCCACGTTTGAAAGATGACTACCATGAGCTTGCGGGCATGGTACGAGAACTACTTCTAGACCCTCAGGCGCCACTGATGCTGTTAGGATTCAAATGCATTCAGGAATTAGCGCGGGCTTTGCGATCTACGTTTGCTCCGCATGCACGTTCTTATTTGAACCCGTTATTTGACAAGATGAAAGACAAGAAAACGAGTGTCTTAGAGCACATAACAACAACGCTGGAGGCCCTCATACGTTACAAGTGTATCACGTTAGAACAGTGCCAAGATGAGATTGAGCTCACCGCACAGAGCCGGGTTCCAAATCAGAGGTTAGCGTTGATACATTGGCTTATCCGGCTTACGGATAAACTTGACTGTAGTTATTTTTGCCGTCTGAGTCGAGCACAAGGCATGCTTGGCCGTCTGATGAATGACGAAAAGGTTGAGATTCGAGAGGCGGCTTGTGTGTTAATCTCAAAGTTCATCACACTTCTGGGAGAAGCCAATTTTCAGCCACTTCTGGCCTCCTTAGATGAGAAGCAGCGCAGCAAAGTCGCCACAGCCATAAGCAGTGCCGCCAATCTACAGTGTACGCCGTCGATTTCCCCAGCAAAAAAAACACAACGTCTAGAGCTGCGAGAAAGACCCTCCTCCGTGGCCTTACGAAGTCTCTCCGTGGGAGAAATGAATACGTCTTCCCTTACTGGTGTGTCATTGAGAGGGCAACGTCACTTTTCTGCAATACCGCGCCAATCCTCTCCTGAGGTTGGGAAGAAGCGTTCAACAGATGACTCAGTGTCATTGGAGTCAACTCTTCCCTCCAAAGACGAGGCGTTTAAGCGTATGTTGGGCCTAATGAATGGAAATATGACAGTATTGCCGCTGTTGCGCTCCAAGGAGTGGGGAAGCCGCCAGAAGGGTGTCATGTGCATACGGACACTGGTTGATGAGTGGACAGAAGAGGCATGTACAAAGTATTTGGATACTGTTCTTGTGTATTTGCGTGTTGATCCTGGGTGGCGCGAATCCATATTTCAGGTATTCCAATCAATGCTTGGTGTGCTACAAGTGCTTGTGACACGAGCAACGGTAGTAAGCACTGGGGCAAGTTACGCCATCATAACAGGTTGTACCTGTCGGCTTACAGAACCCAAAAACAGAGCGGCTGTTCGTGAGTTGATAACTCACATCGCAAGACGTCAGGGTATTGCATTTGTGATGCATCACTTAATAGAAGAAGTTACATCCGTTAAAACACCGAGACTGATGCAAGAATGTAACGAATACATGATACAGTTACTACAGACATTTACATCTTCCCAAGTTGATGCAAAGGGAGTGGTGGATTATGTGAAGTTGCACTGTTTTGGGCAGCAATTTCCTGCAATACGAGCCTCTGGTATAATGTTGCTGGTAGCGCTTCGGGCTCATACCGGTCCCGCAATAGATGACTACATAAGCACTGCCTGTCCTGCATTGCTTGGCGTGTATGAGGAAGGTCTTGCTCAGAGTAACGGAATTAAAGTGGCTTGTCGTGGAACTGAATCTCGGGATATACAACGAGCGCCATCCCCTGTTTCCCCCTCACGTGCGCAGAAGACAGAAAACCGGCAATCAGCAAGAACAAGCGGACAAAGTAGTACAGGTCCAACCATGGCATTTTCTCATGTAGAAAACCGCGCCGTCGTTTCATGTCGAGGCGATTGTCCAACACAATCTCCCTGCCACAAGTGAGGAAGGTCCAATGCGTGCGGATCTTTCGCAGCAATTAATTGCCTTGACCAAACAAATCACAACTGCAACCGATTGGCGAATACGTTTAGATGGTGTCAAACGAGTAGAGGATGTGATGCATGCTAGCAATAAAAGTATTGCACCTAATATGGTAACAGAGGTGCTAAGAGCTCTTCGCAGTCGTTTTGATGAGACCAATAAAAATTTTGTTATTGATGTACTTCGCACAATTTCTTTGGTTGTGGAGACAGCAGGCCCTGAGGCATGTCGGCCAGGGTTTAAGAGTATCTTGCAAGGCGTGCTGGGGATGTTAGGCGACCAAAAGATGAATTTGCGCGAGGAGGCCACCAACGTGGCGTACGCTGCCCTGGATTGTCTTGGTCTTGACACTGTGCTCCAGTGTATGCTGAAACCTCTCACATCTGAATCGCATGCCTGCAATCAGTCAGCGCTAGAAATTATTGAAAGTGGATTTCAGAAGGAGCCGGATGCAGTGATATCTAAACAGGTGATATTTTCTCTTGTGCCCGCGGTCGTGCGCCTATGCATGAGTCGTATTCTTGAGGTTCGCCTGGGGGCTGAACGTGTCATTGGTAAATTTATCTCACTAGTTGGGGATGAGATGGTGCTGCGGGCTGTACAGAGTCTGCGCCCGGCGGAGCAACAGAGTGTCATGGCGCCTATTGAGCGACAGGTACAGCTTTTCCTCCGTAGCACAGATGAGGAAGAAGCTCGTCGAGCGTCATCATTTGTTTCACTGTTTTCAGCCCAAGGGCCTGCTTCGTGCACACCACGTTCTCCGCGGTCGCCACGAGCAGCAAGCAGGAATATGAGTGCTAGCCATAGGAGCACGGATCTCCCACTGCAGCTGCAAGGAGGGCAGTCATCCCACACTGCGTCCCAACGGAGCTCTACGGGCAAAGAGGCGATGCCGTCTCCCGTACAACCACAAGCCTCCTCATCGGCGCCTTCCCCACAAATTGCGTCTGTCCAGAATCATAATGAAGAGCTTCTCACTATTCAGGAGATCATGGTAGGACTACGGTCTGCCTCTGCGTCAACAGCCGCCAATACATGTGCCGAATTCTTGAAACGGATTCAAAATGATGAGGTGTGTGGAACTCCCGAGATGATTCAAGTCATGGTGGAACGTCTTTATGAAAACATCAGGTTTTTTGATGTGACATTGGCTATTGGTCTCATACGATGCCTAAAGGCCATTTTTGAGCGACCCCGATTTACCCAGTGGTGTCACAGTAGTCTTCTCTTTAGGATGTTGGGTATGATCTTTGACTGTCTCCTGTCAGAGGCATTCTCGCTACATGAAGAAGTTATCAAGGCGCTTAACAATATGACACTCACCCTGTTGGAGGGGTGTCCTGGGAATGAGGTGTTCAGTGCGTTAATGTCACGTATGACGAGGTACTCTGAAATATATACTGCGAGTGGTAAGAAGGCTGATTTAAAGTACATTCAAGTCACTGTGAAATGCCTGATGAGACTCGATTTCGACACTGTTTCACCGGATAATGTTGTTTTATGCTGTCATGAGTATTTGCTGCAGCATCCACCCAGTGCCTTTCGAAACCTGGACGATCTTTCCATCAGAACCGTCAAAACAATTTTGCAGGACCTCTCGAGGCGGTGCGGGCCACCTTTGCTTGCCGTGGCAAATCGGCTGGTGGGAACACAAAACCTTGTGACGCATTTTATTCGGGCCTGCTTAGAGAACCAAGAACGGTTAGCACAAGTAAATAGCGAAAACGGACAACAAAGTGCAGGGGACGCTAACAAGCAACCACAGAACCATGGGTCTCCACAGCAGTGCACTGCCTCACCATCTCGGCCCGTGCGCCCCCGACGAGGCCAAAATGTTTATATGGACCCAGCCGCCACAATAGCACAACCCCAAACTTTGTCTGGCGCACAGGGAGCTCTTTTATCGGCGGTTGAGGAAAAATCCATGTCCAGCATATTTGCTCGTATTCGCAATCATCTGACATCCAACCAAGGTATTGAAGAATTATATGCGTTTCTGAAGCAGCGTCCTAAGAGTCCAGAGTTTGACCAGCAGTTTCACAGATGCTCTGAGGCGTTTCGCTCCTACATTAAACGAAAGTTGGAGCGGCAGATGCAGGAGGATACCAAAAAGGTCCCAGGGTTCTTACTTCCCGAGGTTCTGCGTTCAACCCCGTAAACCTCTCTCTCTCTCTCCCTCCCCCCACACACCATTTATTCTTATGTGCTATTGAGTGTATGTTTGTGTGGCGGCTGACGACTGTAGAGACGAAGTAAAAAAGAATTCAAATGAAAAAAAAAGGTATATATATGTTTTTTTTTCTTTTTTTAAAGTGCGTACTTTTCGCGTCGCGGAAGACATGCGGGATAGAAAGACCACAATGAGTGAATGTTTGGGTATATATTTATAACAAGAAAAGGCAGGAAACGGGATTGCGTTATCTTTTCACTTCATCTTGTGTTTTTTACCCTTTTCTCAAAGCAAAAAGAATCTTGGGCAGTCAGTACGGCTTCTCTCCGCAGAGCCTGTGCACTTAGTGGGGAGGGGCTCGGATTTTTCTTTTTTCTCGTTTACCTTTCTCAATTCTTTTAGTTCATATTCCCTTTCACCGGGCATCGCTGCACCGTTTTTTTTTTGTTCCTTTAACACATGGTCTTTTGTTTCCTCTGACTTCTTTTCTCCCGTTTTTTCTCTATTCATGCATGCGGTAGGATTAGGAATACTGGTCTCTGGAAAGGCGTACCGCATCACTTTGTAGCAGAAGGAGTAGAGAAGAAACAATACCAAAAAAGGAAAGAAAAAGTTTATTGGAAAAAGGCAGCGGCTTGCAATGCCACCGAGGCGTGCGATTGAAGATGATGAGGAAGGCACAGAGGAAGAAGAACTTGAAACGACCACTGGGTCTGAGGGGGACAGTGACGTGGAGAAGCTTGTGAAGGATGCGAAGACCATAGAGACTGTGCCAACAGAGACTTTGCTTGTAAACAATCCAAATGACGAGAAATACGATGTAACGGACGCTCGGCCCGTGCGAACTCCTCCTGATGAACCTTTGGAGCCAACAGCACCGCCCGAGGAGGATCATGAGTTGCAAGCGCTCGTGAAGGATGAGAGTAAGCGTGAGAACAGTCTGGGGTATCTAGCCCAAGAAGCCCCACAGCTTCCGCTTGGTGTAAATATTCAGAAGCTTCACAACAAACCCAATGACGAAATGGTAAAGGTAGATGATGCACTCAATATTCCCACACCCCGCGGGAATGCTAAGGGTAATGAAGCTGGAGCCGGTTTAATTCTGCGGAATGCTCCTCATGATGAAGCAATTCCTTTGTCTACAATGGGGAGCTCTGTCGGTACACCGAGCAAACGGGCTGGTGGGCAACTCGGTGCAATGGCGCCCACCGATGATGAAAGCAGCGCTGATGAGGAGACTGAAGAAGTGGAGAGTCACTCTCGCGGTTATATCAATCAACGGCCTGAGGCCATTGACACGGAGGCTGAGATAAAGGCAAACGTGATCCCAAACCTTGAGTACAACCCACAGGATTATGCCAAAATCAACAGCACCGCCAGCCAGGAGATGCAGGAACTTTTTAAATGTATTCTTGATTACCAGCCGGTTATACCAGAACTTCCAGCAAAGCTGCGCCCATTTATTCCTGACTATATCCCATCTGTTGGAGATCTTGACCCCTTCTGCAAGATATCACGGCCAGATGGGCGACCAGATGGATTAGGTCTTTTTGTTTTGGATGAACCTTCTGTGTCGCAGTCTAATCCTGCCGTCGTCTTGCTAGAGCTTCGCGCAACAAATATTCATTCCAGCGGTGGTTTGGCGGAGGTGGTGGACTCCTTTGAGGATGCCGCCAATCGGCCAGAAGTCATTGATCGCTGGATTGCGGATGTCAAAAAGGTTCACTACAAGAAACCCTTGCCGACCACGAACTACCAAAAACCCATGCCCGAGATAGAGTCCTTGTTACAGGTTTGGCCCCCAGTGTTTGAGGAATTTCTTAGCTCAGATATTCAGCTACCTCCGCCGCACATTGACGTGGATCTGGACCAGTACGTGCGCACCCTCTGCTGCATTCTTGACATTCCCACGTATAACTCTCTCGTTGACTCCTTGCATGTTATGTTTACAGTATATCAGGAATTTCGGGCAAATCAGCACTTTCAACATGAATAAATACGATCCATTCCCCTGTTTTTTTTTGTAGTTTGGTTAGTTTGAAGAAAAAAGGGGGGTAACTTGTTCTCATTATTTCTTGATCGTTACCTCTCCCCTCGCAAACACTTTTTTTTTTTTGGTTTTCGCTGTATTTTGCGTCTTACCCATTCTGAAATATCTACACAAATTTTTCCGTCGTTATCGCTCTACATGTAAATGATAATTCATGGCTACCCTTAGTGCGGGATTACGTCAAGGATGACTATTTGGGGAGTTATTAGACGGGGAAACAGCAAGAGCAAAACGCGAAAAAAGAAACTCATTAGGTTGTGTGGTATGGGAACTACTTGTATTACATGATATCGAGTAGAAGAAGTAGAATGGAATAGAATAAGCACCAGAAGCGCAATGCATGCGTTATGCGTAGTGTCTGCTATATGGTGGGGAGCGGGGATGGAGAAGGATTCCTTCATGAATTGTGTATATGATATGGAGGGTGTCTCTGTTTGGGTGTTTGTTTTGTCTTTTTTTTTCCTTGTACTTGGTACTTGTTTGTTTTCTTTTTGTTTTTGTGTACCTGATCCTTTTTCCCCATCCTCGTTTTGTTTGTTTTTTGTGGTGTCACCACTTTTTAGAACAAATCTGTTGTACGTAGGCAGAGGCGGCTCCCGTATGAGCTCTCCAGTGTGGTCTGTTTACGAGGGAGAGTGGGGCGCCCTCTGCGATGATGCCGACAACATCCCACCAGAGCTTACCTTGAAAGGATGTGGACTGCGCCAGAAGTGTCTCCTGCAACGTGGGGCCCAAGGTGCTGTGTACCTGGGTGAAGACGCCGACGGAAACGTGTTTGCGGTAAAACGAATTTTTACTCAACGCAGTGAGTGTGGTATTCGAGGCATTTCGGAGGGATCACTTCGGGAGGCCACGCTACTTACCCACATTGCTGAAAAGTCAAAGACACTCGATCATGAGCCCCCCTTTGGAGTCATCCGTTTAAAAGGAATTGTGGAGGCTCCATTTCAAGAATTGTGCCTTATTTTGGAAAGGTGCACATTGGATTTATCATGGATGCTTTTTCACAAGAGAAAACGAGCGCATAATGCGGCCGATTCTGCTTCACAGCCTCTCACTCGATGCCCTATTCTCGCCAAGATGCACGTCATTCAATACCTTATGCGAGGGATTATTGGCATTCTTCGGTTTCTCCATGAAGAGTGTCACATCATTCACCGAGACGTGAAGCTAGGTAACCTACTTGTGGGAGAGGATGGACGTGTGCGTCTTGCTGACTTTGGTAGCGCACGTTTAATGCATGAGGTGGCAGAGAAAATGTCTGATGTGAAATCTGCAGAATACACGCCTACATCTCTTCGGACGACCGTGATTTACCGGGCTCCTGAGTGTCTACTGGGTGAGCGATGCTACACGGCGGCAGTGGATGTATGGGCAGCCGGAGTCGTTTTTGCGGAATTACTTTTGCAACGACATCTCCTTTGCGGCAGCAGCGAACTAGAGATGCTCTCCGAGATCTGGAAGCTTCTCGGTACTCCATCCGATAATTTATCCACAAGCACAGGAGAACAGTCAGTTACATATGGCGTGCGTCTAGACTCTACCATAGCGCTGAAGTTTCCCGAAGAAATTGTTTCCTCAGAGGGCCTGGATCTTCTTAAGCGCATGCTTGAGCTGGATCCGAAGAAACGCATCACTGCTGCAGAGGCCCTTCGCCACCCTTTTCTAAGCGGCCCCGCTGTTGAATTGCACCAGGCGGAGGCCCGACTGCTGTGGCAGAAGAAGGTGGAGGCGTGTATACAGGAGGCGGCGGTACAGTCTGGTGATTTGGGACTATATCCCTTTTCTATGGGAGATGACGAGTCCGATGAGGGGACTGACGAGAAAGAGAACGATGATAAGTATGGAGACTATGGTGATTCTAGTCATCTCTGCATGCTTTGATGGCTTTTTGTGTGTAGTTTCCAATGGCACAGACGTGGGCGAGACATGGAAGGAATTCGGATGCGAAAACAACAACAAATACAGGTGAGGGCAGCACTTCAGCTAAAAATAATTTTATTATACGTCGAAGGTTCGTTAAGCGTCTCTTCACGTCTGTTTGCCTTTCTCTCTGAGTGTTGTTTTCAACTCTTCTCGGTCACCTTTTATTCCCTTTGCTTTTTTTTTTTTTTTTCTTGTGTCTTGTATCAAGTGGTAGCTTTTGTTGTTTTTCTGCTATGTGAGTGAGTGTGTGTGTGTGTCGTCTATTATCATTTTCATCTATTTACTCTTCTTTTTCTGTCGTCGCTACGGCCTCGCTTGCGGGGGGGTTCAAGGTGGCAGAAGATAAAGACTACGTGAGGCGCTGTGGCATCACTATGTATTACCGCACGCTTGGAGTGAAGCGTCGAGCAACGCAGGAAGAAATCCGTAGGGCGTTTCGATCTGCGGCTGTGCAGGTGCACCCCGATAAACCTGGTGGGTCAGTCGAGCTCTTTCAGACACTCCAAACGGCGTACGAGGTGCTGAGCAATGAGAAGAAGCGTGCTCTCTACGACGCGGAATTAGCGAAGCAGCGTAATAAACTGCGTGGGTTTAAGCGTCCCCCCTGCGCTTGATAATATCCGCTTCCCAGTGCACTATAAATTGGCGGACGATGAGTACTACACATTTGAAACTTCCCCAGGCTGTTTGAAGTGCACCTTTAGGCACGGCGATATTATCAGCTACAACAACAAGTTGGGCTGCTTTATCGGTCTCGCAGGAGACGACTATCTTTACTGGCGCCCGGATGACCAAGCACATGCATCCAAGTTGTGTCAGATGGGAAGCTTTGGGGTTGATGGTGTAAAAGTTGTGGTGCGTGCCAATTTTAAGTCTTCACATGGTGGATTCCCACCTTCATCCTTGCCATCTCGGGCCGTTGGTTCTGCCGCTGCAGGAACTCCTGGGGCGGCGATGAATAAGGGGCGACCGGGCCGGCTTTCAAAAGCGGAGCAGCTGCGACTAAATATTATGCGGAGGGGGCGGGAGCAGCATTACCGGGGATGTATGGCGGCGCTTGTTGAGAGCGAGAAGGAGAATCGCGCGCGCCTGCTGGAGAAAATTGAGGCCGACTTGGAGAACGAACGGCAGAGTTTTAGAGATTGGCTGGCAGCCGGTGACCTCGTAATGAGGGAGGAGGAGCCGGCATGGATCACACATGCAAACCAACATACGTCTGGCAAACAGAACTGAGTGCAACGCAAGGGAGCCGGATTTTGCAACGCGGGTGCGGTAGGGATATGAGTGGAGGGAGGGAGGGAGGAACAAGAAAGAAACGAAAAAAACAAAAGGCAAGCGCGAATCCTGTTAAGGCTGCGTGAGCGTCGTAAGAGAATACGCTTGGCATTGGGCACGTCAAACGCCTCCCACCACCCTCCTCTTCTTCTCCCATTTGGAGATATTATTTTGCTGTTATTATTATTGGTTGAAAGGGATAGAGAGAGAGAGAGAGATGCAAATGTGAAATATAAAATATTTCACAGCATACCTTATATGAGTAGGAGTTGTGGAGTGCAGCATTGAAGGCGCACCGGATGAGAACACCACCCGCCCCCTCCTCCTTCCCTTCAGGCGCCAACTTACCATGCTTCGCCATACATATATAAACATCTAACTATGTTTTCATGGAAGTATGTCCTCAATGTAGATACGTCAAAATTATTTATCTAAAAAATAATAATCTTAGTGTCAGTGGCAAAGAGTCCTGGCACGTTGAAATTGCAATTGATTTCCTTTTTGTTTTGTAATGCTTTCTTGTTGGCTGGGTTTTCGTTGATATTCCTTATGATTTTTATGACGCCATACGTCGTATGTGTGGGCGAAAACACAGACGAGGGAAATGAAAAAGAGGAGGATGCGTGGTGGAGTGAAACAAAAGGCTAGGACAGATGAAGGAGAAGTGAACTGTTGTTTCCCTTCGGTTATATTTTTGTTGTCTGTTTTTTTTTTGTTTATGTGTGACAGGCTGAACTGCATCGCCGGAATTTATCACATTTATTTTTTATTTCTTACCACTTGCCGTTTTTCCTATGAGTTCCCATTCTCACATCCGCATCTCTTTTTCTTTCTCTATTTATTTCCTGCTGTTTGTGCTTGATAATGTGCGTGTAGTTGACTCAGAGGGTAGAGACGAGCACAGACTTCAACTGTTGTTTGCCCCGCTTCAGTCTGTCTGGCAATGTCCCTCGACAAACCCCTCTTTTTCTTCGAGACGAACAGTGGCCCTAGTGCGCGGCGTGGCCAGGGCGGGGATCATCACCCCCAGCCACAGAGGCAGCAGGCCCGGAGTGGTTTGTTTCACCTCCCGCATGGTTCACTGCGCACACCCATATTCATGCCTGTGGCGACGCAGGCCGCACTAAAGGGTGTGACAGTGGAGCAGTTGGAGGAACTTGATGTGGAGATTATCCTCGGGAACACGTATCACTTGGGGCTGCGACCCGGGGAGGACATTTTTAACAACATCACACGGCTAAAAAACGCTCAAGAGAATGCTGCAAAAGACAGTGAGGCACAGGAAATAGAGTCCTCGCGGATCCGAAACAATATGGATGGGATTCATTTTCTACAAGGATGGCGACGGAATATTCTTACGGACAGTGGGGGTTTTCAAATGGTAAGTCTGCTGCGACTTGCTAAAATTACTGAGGAGGGTGTGCGTTTTCAGTCAACTCACGGTGGCAACGGTGGAGGCGTACGAGTGGGTGATAACGCTCATAGCACCATCCATAGCAGTGGTGCTGCCTATGCTGGAGATGAGGACGCAGACTATACGCTGCTACTGCGGCCAGAGGACAGCATTCGCATTCAAAATGCCATTGGGGGTGATATTATGATGCAACTGGATGATGTTGTGCACGTTCTCACGACTGGACCTCGTATGGAGGAGGCCTCTAGACGTACTGTACGTTGGCTAGATCGTTGTCTTTCTGCCAACATGAATCCAGATAAGCAGGGCATATTTGGCATTGTTCAAGGTGGCCTCGATCCAACACTGCGGGCAGAGTGTCTTGCTGAGATGGTCAAGAGAACAGCCTGTAAGGGGTACGCTATTGGTGGCTTAAGTGGTGGGGAGGCAAAGGATGATTTCTGGCGAATCGTTGCCCAGTGTTGCAAGGGGCTTCCAGACGACAAACCACGCTACTGTATGGGTGTGGGGTATCCAGAGGACATTATGGTGTGTATCGCACTTGGAGTGGACATGTTTGACTGTGTGTATGCTTGCCGTACGGCCCGCTTTGGTTCGGCATTGACATCTACGGGAAAGATTCAAATTACAAAGAAGGCATTTGCTAACGACATGGGGCCCCTGGATCCTGCCTGTAACTGTAAGACATGCAAAACTTTTTCCCGTGCGTACCTGCACCTTGTTGCGACTAAGGAGGCACTCGGATCCACTCTTCTTTCCTACCACAATGTGGCCTACCTCATCAACCTCACCCGCGGCACGAGGGCGGCTATCGAGGGTGGTAGTTTCACAGAATATGTGCAGAACTTCTTCGTGGCGTATTACCCCAAACGGGACTACCCAAAGTGGGTAATGGAAGCGCTGTATTCTGTCGGCATTGAGCTTCTCTAACACTGCGGCATTTGCCTGGATAGGAGAAAAACACATGCACAAAAACTGACGAAAAGAATAATATATATATATATACTTTAGAAAAGTCCAGGAGGAGAAAAAGAAAAACAAATAAACGGCACAATGAGAGAATTCAAATATACCTACTTTTAAGGTATATATATATATAAATTCCGTTGCATGCACGTGCTTTTTTCCAATGACAAGTGACTTCTGTATTAAATATTACAAGCTGAACTCCCAAACTTTCTCTTTTTTTTTCTTTTATTGGTAAGGCAAAAAAAAAAGGGAATAAGGTCCAGGAGAACAATGACAGAGGTTGTACAGGTGTCGCTGCAATGCTACATGGGGCGGTTCTGCCTGCCAGTAGACCCACAACTGAGTATTCGCGAGACATTGCGACTCTTTCGTCAGAATATTCTGGAGTTGGGTCAGGTGGATATGGACGCCTACGCGGTGAACTGCAACGGGAAGCTGCTCCTGGACGAAGCGAGCACACTAAAGGATGCCCAGGTTGGGGAGGACGCCGTCATGATACTTGTGAAGAAGAGCGATTGCCCCGCAGCAAACACCGGCAAGGATGAGGAGGAAGAGTGAAACTGAGCTGAGATGTGTGTGTGTGTGTGTGTGCCGTTGGGTTATTGTGTCGTTGTGGGCTTTCGGTGTGGGTGCCCTCCACAGTTACAGATGTAATCAGAGTGTGTGGATTTCCGCATGGATGAGGCAATAAATGAAAATAGGTAGATTGTGTCCAAACGCAATAGCTTGCTGCGCGTGGCACCGTTTGGTGTTTACTTGTCTTATGTGGGGCGTTGACTCTTTTTTTTTTTGCTTTATTGTCCTTTTTTGCGTTGCTCTGCTTATCGCTGTGTCGTGTTTCCACACGAAGTGCATAAGGGGCTGAGCACGATCGGGTCGTTGTCCCCTGTTGCGTGGCCCACCGAGTGAAAAGGAACTGGTTCGCTGAGGTGGAGGAGAGTGGTCAGTGTTGGTGTAGCACACACTAACCCCAGAGCGAGCTGCACTGCTAGAGTGTAGGGAAGCGATATACTTTTTGTTTTTGTCTTGGAAGCAAAAAAAAAAAAAAAAGGTAGGAGAAAGACAAAAAAAAGACGAAACAAAAAAGGAAGGAAGGAAACAAGACTCAGACTGCATGTATCATTCACAAGGTGCAGCCTCGGGCGGCGGCGGCGGCGGCGGCGACGGGGGAGGAGCTCTCACTGCCGCCGCGACCTACAGCCGATTTCCAAAGATTTCAACGTTTGAGGTCAGCCCGCAGGAAATATTTTTTCGTGACTTTGAGCCCCACAAGACGTACGAATCGCCGCTGCATCTCAAAAACACGACAAAACAGACGCAGTTTGTCCAAGTTGGGCAGCCACAAAGCCGGGTTCTGGCGCTGAAGCCTCCGCGGCATAATGTCACCTCCATGAAGGTTGCGCCTGGTCTCTCTGTTACCTACAAAGTACTCTTTACACCCGAGGAGAACCGTAACTACTCTTGTGACCTTGTCGTCACAACAGGGAGGGAAGAATTTACTGTCGCTGTGCATGCCATTGTGAGCCGAGGCAAACTCACGTTGCCGGAGTCTTTGACAGTGGCACCGTGTCCTGTGAAAAGTACTGGCACAACTAGTCTTTTTCTCCGAAACACGGGAAAGCTGGAGTGCCAGTGGCGTGCAGAGACGTCTTCGCCATTCACTGTAACCCCATCTTCTGGCTTGTTGGCTCCAGATGGGGGTGTTTTTCCCGTAAGTGTGGAATTTGCGCCAATGAAGCTTCAACGATATGAATCGGTCATTCGCTTCCTCCTTGGCCCGGAGGAAGATATGGTGCAAAAGCTTCCAGTCATTGGAACGGCGGTAGAGGTGGATGTGGTGTTAGAGCAAACCACATTGGAGTTTCCATGTACCTTTGTGACACTGGAGAACCAGGCTTTAGTGCGTGTGCGGAATGACAGTGGTTACACCGTTAACTTTTCATGGAAATCTGATCGCAGCAACTCCGAAGAACGAAGAGCCTTGGAGCGAAATTTGTTGGAGCAGACTGAGGCTGTCACGTATTCCGTCCTGACAAGCTCACCAAATGAGGCGACTCGAAAACGTCTTAGGGAGGAACGTGTCAAAGCTCTTACAAAAGGAGGACGTGTGTTTGACGATGACGTATTCACTCTTGAACCAACTAGTGGTACCATCTACGCAAAGGGCAGCAAGGAGTTTGTTGTCACATTTAACCCACAACTCGCCATGGAATACCTTGCCACTGCATATCTTGACATTGGTGGCAGGCGACTGCGACTCCCTCTTCAGGTAAGAGGAACAGGTCTCGGTCCTCAGTGCGAACTCGAGTACACCCGTCTTGATATTGGCAATATCTTTGTTGGCGCCTTACATGAGTATCAAGTAGCTATTATGAACAAGGGATGTGTGGAGGCACGTTATGCCGTTCTCCCACAAGATACGCTCATGGGGCGAAAGTTTGTGTTTCATCCCGCTGAAGGCGTATTGGCGCCTGGGACAGAAGGGGATCTTTTTATTCAGCTTCAGTCAGACCTTGTGGGTCTTATTTCTGAGACCTTCCATATTCACATACATGGATCCCTTGAAGACCTGACACTGCGCATTCGAGGAAGTGTCACAGGACCGGCGCTTCAGTTTGACATGGATGAATTAGACTTTGGAAATGTTTCATACAACTGGTTGCACTCCCGTGTTATAAAAATGTTAAACATTGGGCAAATTCCGATTGACTTCCGCCTCCGCATTCCAGAGTCAAGTCCGTTGCACAAGGTCATTACGGTATCTCCCTCGGAGGGCATCATTCCACCAAAACAGGAGCAGGAAATCCACGTGAGCCTTGTCTCCAACATTGTAGGGAACTGTGAGACGGTGTTATTGGTGAATGTGGAGGGAGTTGGCGATGGGGTGGATTCAATTCCCATCAAAGCGGCTTGTCTTGTGCCAACACTTCAGCTTTCCACGGAAAAATTGCACTACGGTACATGTTTTGTTGGCCACGAGTATATCATGAATCTGGAGGTTGTCAACAAGACGGCTCTGCTTGGGAAATATGAGGTGATTTTGCTGAATGAAGAAGGAGTTCGAGCGGCAAATGCCCTTGTTGTCATTGACTCTCCAGAGAAGTCACAAACCGCCAAGGTGATCGAGCCTCGTAGTCGGTCTCAGGTGCCAGTCAAACTCACACCATTGGCTGTTGGTGGTTTACACATGACTTTGTACGTCCGCGTACTGGGCTCGGATGAACCGCCGCTGCCTGTTTTATTGACGGCAACAGCACGTGGCCCAACAGTAACGGTGGAGCCCATGTCCCTTACGTTCGGTACATTGATGTTGCTGGAACATTCAGAGCGGAAATTTGTGTTAAATAATACGAGCCCTATTCCTGCCTTTTTTTCCATAAAGTTTATGCAGAATGCTAGACACACTACCCAATCTGTCTTTCGCGTTGATCAATCACGGGGGGAGATAGCCCCCCACAGCAGTACAACCGTTAAGGTAACGGCATGTCTTAACGATGCGCGGTTGTTTTCGGAGAAGATTCAAGTCATTGTGAAATATGCTGAAGACGATGCGCAGATTATCTCTGTGACGGCACATGGTAAAGGCTACGCTTTGGTTCCCACTGTGCCTATTAATAAAATTGATTTTGGTGACGTTTTTACCGAGACACTGGCAGAGAAAGAGATTTGCTTACGTAATGATGGGCAGCGTGCCATTGAGGTATTGTGGAGTGGCGGTCGCGGCAATCGTGTCATAGTGGGTGGTCCGCCTATCGTGTACCGTATTGTTCCAGAGACCGCCGTGATCGGCGCCGGAGCCTGCTTCACATTTACGGTTCAAGGCCTGGCAGATGCAGCTGGGGTCGTCACGGAGGAGTTTCAACTGAAGGATAAAAGAGAGTTTAAACCGATTCTCACCACATGTGTCACTGGGAACTTTGTTCTGCCTGCAATTGCCTATAGCACAAAGCGGGTGGTCTTTGACTACGTTTACGGTGCCGAGGGTGAGATCGGAAACGCGGTCATGATGAGGACATTTACGATGACGAATACAACAACACAATCGCTGGACATGACACTCAAATGCGTAGAGGCATCTGGTGGGGGCCATTCTCCCTTCACTTTGGTCAGTCCTACATCCTTTACGCTAATGAGTGGGGAAACGCATATTGTGGCTGTCAATTGTGATGCACTCTACCGCCAAGACTGCGTCGCTCACACGACAAAGGGTCGCATTTTGGTTGCATTCACCAATCATCCCTTTACGGAGTTTGTTAGCCTGGTTGGGAATATTGCATTTCCAACCATTAGCATTGAACCGGAGGATCGACAAGTAAATTTTGGTTCTATTCTCGCAGATACTGAGGGACGCTCAAAACTTACTCTTACAAACCTGTCATCGTTAGTGGCGGCCGAATTTGCGTGGAGTATAGAGTACCATAATGAGTCTTTATCAAGTCGAGCTGAGACAATGCAAAAACGTTTTGACCTTGTCCCTTTTAGAGGGGTTATTCCTCCGGGAGGAAAACGCGTTGTTGATGCCGTCTTTTACGGCACCCGAGGTCGACATGAGGCCACAGCAACATGCATGTTGAAAGGGGGGCCGAGTTACGATGTGAGTTTAATTGGTTGGAGTGACGCCGCCGTGCGCTTTGACTCCACAAGTCTTGATTTTGGGGTGATGCATTTCTCGGAGAGGGCCAAAAAGACAATCTCCATCTCCAGTATTGCTCATGTTGCCATTCCCTTTACGGTGGACACCGCTATGCTTAAACAGCCTGGGTGTATGGTGGTGAAGCCGTTGAGTGGTATAGTGTCCAATAAAGTTGTGTTGACGGTGTCGTTTTGCCCGATGATTCCAGAAGAGGTTGTAGAGACATTCTCCGTACAGGTTGGTCATCTTGACCCACAACTCATCACAGTGCGAGGCATGGGTCAGGCATACACTGTCACGGTGGCTTCCACTGACAAAAATGCGCTGTTGACCCGGATAGAGGATCCACAATACACACGTTGTCTAGAAGAACTAAAGGACAAGAAGTGGGTGCCGTACCTTGAGAGGTCTGGTTACCCGCAAACATTGCCGGGTGTGGTGCCTCTTGTGGTGGAGGCTGAGCGGCTGGCGTACTGTCGTAATCTTATGCTCGCAGCGATGATCCCAGATAGCTCAACGAGCACACCAACACTCTTTCCCACCGTCACGCACGCGAAGAACATTGACACTGAGGTTTTAAGGAGAGAGAAAACGACTGTGCTCGCGCGATACGCGATAGACTTTGGACATATGACACGACTGGAGATACGCAGCGTTAAGTTGTCTCTGATCAATACGTCTATTTACCATGTGGGTATTGTTTTTGACAAGCAGGTGATGGAGCTGGGGGTGCTGAATATGGAGCCGCGAAAGATACCTACATTGCCCCCGTTTTCAGCAACGGATGTGACGCTGTCACTGGCCCCTAGCGACACTGAAAAGGTTGCAAATGGTGCAAACCGTTTTGAATTTTTTCTTGATATAAATAAAGGTTCACGTATTATTATTGAGGTGTTTTGTTTTGTTGCGGCACCCGCCTTAACACCATGTGAAACCGTCCTAGACTTTGGTGATGTGCTTCTTGGACGAATTAAGAAAACTCCACTACACTTCCACAACGCTGAGGTTATCTCATGTACGTGGCGAATGACATTGATTGAATCCAAGCGGAAGCCGGCTACAGACTCAGATGCTGATGCTGCCGCTGCTGTTTGTAATCCTTCGCTTGTTGCCTCCAGACAGCAGTTCAGGGTCAATAAGGAACGTGGAACTCTTCCTCCTCAGTCTTGCATGAGTATCATGGTGAGTTTTATGTCTTTTGTTCGCGGTCCTGCGAAGGCCAAACTGCGGTTGCGCTATGCCTCAAACTCAGAGGATCACTATGTGTTATTTAAAGCCAATGTTGTGGGTGTGAATGTGGAGATTTCTCCGTCCCCGCTGGTCTTTCCACCGATGTTTCCGTGTCAAACCATGAAAAACAGTTTCACCATCATTAACAACGAGGACAGACCTGTGGAGGTGTTCAGCATGAACTTTGATGAGAGGCATCGTGTGTGTATTGGTGTTTTACAACGTGCCTTGGAAATGCAAAAGACGACGTTGGGAGAAGAATGTGAACTTCATCTACCTATTCGGGAAGCCGGCGAATTTCTGCCACAACCTCTCTTGGAGCTTGTCTTTACGGATATACAACGGGAGGATTTGGTGCTTGAATACAAGGATGCGGAGGGATTAGAGAGTGATACTGTACGTGAAGGGATTTCTACAAGTCGTCTCCCTTCAAGAAGGGCGCGGCACTCGCAGCTGCGTATAGATGCGCCAGCGTCGTCATCACGCCACTCGGACATCTTTCTGGGCGAGACATCTGAGGCCCAACCCTTGGTCAAAGGCGAGAGACAACTTGTGATTGTCACAGGCCCACCGTTTTCGGGAAAGACAACACAAGTACGGCAGTTGATGCAGACATCAGACGTGCTGCAGATAGACTTGGATGCCATGGTGCGTGCGGAAGCTGAATTTGATACAGCGGAGGGGGAGCTAATTCGCACCATCCTCTCTGAGCGGGAAGAAAACCGTGCAGCATGGGTTAGTGGAAGTGCCGTTAACGATTATACTCCACTTCCTGCAGAGAAGATTATGGGCTCTAATGAAGTAAAAATACTCTATGCGCTTTTGATACGTCATCTTTCTACCGTAAAGTCTGCTGTGCTTGTGGTGATAGATGATGTTAAATCGATTCTTACCGTTGATCGGGAGGCTGTATTGCTTGCCATTGAAAATGCAGCTTCTACCGTAGGACGTACATTGAAGATTGTTTCTCTCGGCGTGAGTGAGGCAGAAGCAGGACTTCGGCGTGGTCTTGAGGTGCAGCAGAAATGTCGTGAGACTCTAGAAGCGGCTGTGACAGTGCCCCTTACGGAGGAGGAGTATGAACAGTTAGGCGTGGAGGAGCGTGATGCGTACGATCGTCGTTTGTTGTACTTTAATGCGTGTAAACGGGCCCTTGCTGATGCCTCCAACGAGGTCTCCCGCTACACTGCGGAGCTGGAGAAAAACCCACAGCCAACAGTGCAAGAGGAGGTGGATGCACAAATAGCGGCGAGGGAGGAAAAGGAAATACTCGCGCGATCAACTTCAAAAGGTAAAAAAATTGTACCGCAGCCGCGTCCCAGGCAGCAATGGGCCCAACTCTCTGAACTTGACCAATACAAGGAACTTTACGAACTACTGCGCCGCACAGAAGGTGATGGTGCGCATATTGTGCTCAACGGAGAGGAAAACGAAAAACACGTAAACGCAGCCATCGTGAAGCATATTTTCTCATCTAATTGTACTTCAACTCCAGTAAAACCCATCTCAGTGCCATGCGATGAAGCAGAAGCTCAAGAAGCAAATATGAGTTTTTTTCCGGATGAAAGGCGTAGTGGTGTTTGGGAGCTAATTACGGAGAAAACGATAGGGCAGAAAAATATCCGATTTGACGAATTTCGCTTCTTTACTACTGTTCAACGAGAAGTAGCAGTAAAGAAAGCGGCGAAGGGGGCTCCTGTGCAGACGATGTTGGTAATGGAAGAAGCCACGCGATGGGTGGTGCCGCCCAAGTCATCGGTAGAAGTTACTGTTGTTTTTTGTAGTGATACTTTGGGCAAGCTGAACGTTTCCTTCACGTTTGGTGTGACAGGCACAAGTCAGGAAATTAAGTTGGATGTCGTTGCATGCACTGCATATCCGGAGATTTGCCGAGATGACAAAAAAATATTTCCTGTCACCAGGTCACGTCTTGTTGCTGGCAAGCAATTAAGTCGTGTATTTGTGACATCAAAGAGGACGTATGACTTTGGTCCGCTTATTGTTCCAGGAGGAACGACCGGTACGCAATTGTTAACTGCAAGGAAAAGTGGGCGATCGAGTGAACTAGGGAGCATTTTAACCAAGAGTGGCACTTTAACTAGTAAGGAAAATGGCGCACTGGACACAATGACCTTTACAAATACTAGCATCTTCCCCGCAGAGGTTTCACTACTATTTGGAAAAGAAAAGGATAACACATTCTCAGTGACGCCAAATAAGTTTACTTTGTCTGTGGGAGAATCGGCAAAGGTGGTGCTGCGCGCTGTCCCTGAAACTATTGGAGAAGCATCATCAACCCTCGTTGTTACAGTGCGAGACAATCCCACACCCTGGTTTGTAAATGTGTCATGCATAGGCACGCGACCAGCAGTAACCCTGGATGGAAAGAAGGAGTTGCTGGTGCAATATGGACGTTGTCTAATAAGGCGTCAGGATAAGAAAGCCATTACCATTGCCAATGACAGTTTGATGCCCATTCGCTGGCGCCTTTCAGGGGTTGAGAAGGCTCCAGTGGAGTTTGAACTAAGCTCCACTAGTGGCCTTCTTGATGTGAATGGCATTTACCCGTTGGAGGTTTTCTTTAAACCCACTCGCCCTGGTGTTCACAATGTGGCACTCAAGGTAGAGGTGACCGACGCTGAAGAAACGTTGTTTGAGTCACTTCCTTTATCAATTAAGGCGGAGGCTCATGATGTTGTGGTGGAGTGGACGCGTCATGTTGATTTTAAACTTATGCATGTGGGTGAAACAAGGAAGGGGACAATCCTCATCCTCAACAAAAGCACATATGAGGTGGGTTACCTTCTACGTTTACCCAAACCACTACAGGGTCTAATCACACTTAATCCGAGTGAGGGGATACTGCGTGGGTTGGTGGGTTTCAAGGACGCATCACTGGCAACTGTGGAGGTGACGATTTGCTTTGACAAGGAAGGCGAGATCCCGGCATCACTTGGTGTGATTGAGGCTTCCTTCTTTGGCCCCGTCACAAATGAACTGCTTTTCCCTGTGCAAAGTATTTCTGTGAGCGGGGAAGCATGGTACAATCGGTTTACAATTAAACCCTCTTGTATAGACTTTGGATCATGCGTTGCCAATCAGAGTAAGCAGTGCTCTTTTGAACTACGCAACACCGGTCGGTTTTCACTCAATTTTAGACTTTTTAACTACAAAAATGGTTCTGCGTCATTACAGCAGGAGGATGAGGAAGGCAGCGGCAAAAAGCACCGAAAGTCTGCAAAATCAGATGCCGTATTTCAATTGGGTGCCTTTACGGTCTCTCCAACTACAGGCAGTGTTGCTGTTGGGGAGAGCTTTTTGTTTCAGGTGAGCATCGTACAAGGAACGGCGTCATGTCATAAGGAGACGCTTGGCATATACATAGACCACTGTGACTCAGAGACAGAGGCAAAAGGAATCCCATTTGAGCTTGTTGCCTCCACAACAACGCCTGGTATAGTGGCTGACCTCTCATCTCTGCTGGATGTCGAAACGATCTTTGAAGAGCAACATGTGGTGACAACTTACTCTCAACGCAACAAAACATTGCGTGCTTACTCAAGGGAGACTCGTACCTTTCACTTTGGCTCCATTCTAGTTGGAAGTCGGGCGGAGGAGCGTTTTCGCATTGCCAATTCCAGTCCACTCACATGTACCGTGAAACTACAACTTCTGCCACCAAACCCACGCGAGGGGAAAGAAAAGGAGAAGGAGAAGAAGGAAGCGGAGCCCGTAACTTACCTGGATGGATTTCAGTTGTTGATTGATGGAGAGCCAGAGAAATCGAATAAGCTTCAGCTGCCATCGTTTGAGAGTCGCTTTGTCACGGTCAGCTTTAGTCCTCCCGCATTACAGTGTTTTGGGGCCCGGTTTGAAGCTGTGGTAATTGGTGGAACTGATCCAAAGACGAGTGTCTTAGTGTTTGACCTTGCCGGGGAGGGTGTTCTTCCGACGGTGGAGTACATCCTTCCGCCGCGGCTTCAGATACCATTTAACATCAGTCTACCAGCGCCGGTGAAAAAAGGCGGCAGGGGGAAAGCAAAAGAATCAAGGAAATTGACGATGCAACAGATGCTGAACGTTGCGGCAGAGAATCTTCTCGCCGACACCATTCAGTTACCATTGACACTGGTTGGAAAAATGACGTCAAGAACATTTACTGTGCGTAATACAGGGGATATGGACGCCCACATTCGTCTGTCGACTCCAGATGTGTTCCCGAATGACATGGATGTCACGAATTTGAGAAACGATTTATTTCTTCCAGTGGGTGCTGCTGAATCATTTGTACTGTCTTTCACACCCACATCGATAGAAAAACATCGGGTGCGGTTGCGTGTCTCTGTGACAGAAAATCCATACGAAGACCGAGAGTTTTGGGTTGTGGCTGAAAGCTACTTCAACGTTATCAGTTTTGAAAACATTGATCCTGGAAGCGAGGACCAACTCACGCTGGGCCATTGTTATGTCTCACATCCTGTGGAGCGTGTGGTGGTGCTCTGTAATAACAGTCCACATGCGATTCGCTTTAACTGGAGTTGCCCCTCTTCCATTCTTCAATGCAGTCCACATGTGGGCCACATTTCACCAGGTTCATCAAAGCAGTTAACGTTGCGGCTTTACACGGACGTGGTATCGAGTGAGACAATTTCCTGCGTCTTTGGAGTGACGTCTATTGAAGTTATGGGAGGAGAGGATTGGGACAATGCGCAGACAAAACCTAGATGGGTTGTCGTTTCCTCCGAGGAGGCAGAGTCTGGGGAAGTCTCTATCTCCTCGGAGAATGAGTCTCGTAAGAATGTTCGTAGAGTTTTTGAAACTGTTCCAGAGCCCTTGTACAATGCTACCAATGATCTCGTGTTGGAAAAGTTCTTTTACGTCAGCTACGCCTGTGATTTTGCCGCTTACAAAGTTACGCTACCTATGAGTGGGGATGTGGAAGTTTTTGACACTCTTACATTCCCTTTAACAAAAATTTTTCAGAGACGAATTGCTGTACTTCGAGTACAAAACACGGGATTAAATGTGTTACCCTTTAATTTTGAGGTAAATGACCCTCTGCAACGTTTGGGTAGTGCGTCGGATACCGCTGGTGTATTCACTGTGGAACCCGCCTCAGGCAAGGTTGAGCCTCGCACGTATCAGGATGTGCGTGTGACATTTGCACCGAAGACTATTGAAGATGCTTCTCAGGTGCTTATTGGTTCCTTTCCTCATAGTGCGCAGCCCAAATTTCATGTTTCGCTTCAAGGGACTGCTGAGTGTCCGTTGGTCCACTTCAACGTACCTCCATGTGATTACTTGGCCTTCCGTATTGATGGTGAGGCGGGACCGGAGTTGAACCCTGATATCATTCCCATCATGTTTTACTCCTGTGGGCTGCAGAGTAAGTGCACTGTCAGCTTTAAAGTCATTAACCCCAGCACAACAACGTATCGCTTTGAGTGGGTGAACGATCCTACGTTGCAGCGAATCTCGCCGTTTCGGTGCCTAACACCCTCTGGTTCTATTTCAGCTGGAAAACAGTACGAAATGACGTTTGATTACACCTCCAGTTCCATCGGCATTCGTGAGGCAAAATGGACTTTTTTTATTTCAGGTCATATGTCTGTCCCATTTTTGCTGGTGGGTAAAACTGAGGAGCCCAATGTGTTTCTGCGTGTGACTCGGGTGAACTTTGGTGGTGTGACAGTGGGGAACAAGAATGAACGTATTATTGAGCTCGAGAATCGTGAAGATATTTCCTTTACGTTTTCATTTGACCGCTCGGTGCTTGGCAGCGACAAGTGCCCTGTGGGTGTGAGACCGTTGGGTGGAACCATTCCGCCGCGGTCAGCCATCCCTCTTACGGTATCGTTTACTCCAAAGGATGAAACCTCGGTGGACATGAGGTTGATTTGCCGAGTAAAGCGGATGAGTGACCCGCTGACAATAAATGTTAAGGGCGAAGGTCTTTGTATTCATTCCGTGCTGACAATCGAGGAAGAAGACGCAGATGATACGGCAGAGCCTGTTATCGTGCTACCTTCGCAGATCTTTTATTTTAACTTGGGTCGTGTGCATGTTGAGACTGTGGTTAAAAAGCGTTTTGTTCTTACAAATGATGGTCAGTGTCCCATGGACTACATCATGGTGGTACCAGAGCACCGCTTCATTCGAGTTGATCCTCTCTTTGGCACAGTGGCTCCGAAGCAGCGAGCTGTGATTATGCTGGTGTATTCTCCGACAGAAGAGGAGACGGTGCGCAACTTTAAAATTCAATGCAAGGTTGAGAAGACGATTGTGTACAACATCCGATTGGGAGTCATCAGTTATGTGCCGAAGGTGCAATTTGGATTTATGAAGCATGATTTTGGTCCCTGTTTCATCACCGAGTTCTCCTCAGATTCCACTGTGACAAAGGCGCTCTCGATGATGAATATGGAAACCAAGGAGAGTGTGGCACTAGACTGTATTCTTTCTCAGGGGAACATTTTTGATTTGGACGGCAACTCCTTTGTGCTTTCTCCAGGTGAGGTGCGCCATCTCAACATTAGTTTTATTCCGTTTGAGGTGGGAGAGTTCACGAGCGAACTCCGAATTACTCTCAACGGTAGTTACTCTTTCTTCATCTTACTTAGAGGGGAGGGCGTTATTCCACGTATTGAGGTTCCTGTTCGTTTCTTAAAGTTGGGTGTCGCCCGCATTGGGGAAAGACGCGTGGCTGAGATGCGATTAGATTGTCGAAGTCGCGCCGTAACGCCTGTCTCCCTGGTCGGCTGCGTGGATGCAGATCTGCAACAAAAGGGCGTCTCGATTAGTCCCGCTGAACTCTTTCTCATGCGACCCCGTGAGATTCGGACGATTACGGTTTCATTTAAACCGACTGCCCGTATCCCGGAGTTTCAGCGGGAGCTGCGCATGATTGTCTGTGGACGTGAGATGCCACTTGCCATCATATCGGCCTCTTGCGAAGACGCGGAGGTTTACTTGGACATTAAAAATATACTCTTTGATGATGTTGTGGTGGGTGCCACTGCGTCTCGCCGCATTGTCATTATGAACAGTGGTGACCTTACCCAACGCTTCAAGTGGGATTTGTTGCTTTTGCCTCAGGGTGAAATGCGGGTCATCCCGTCCGCCGGTTCAGTGCATGCCCACGCGGAACAGGTGTGTGAGTTTGTGTATACCCCAAAGAAGCCAGGGAACGTCTTTCGACGCGCTGTGTCTGTAGAATTTGATGACGCTCCGGCCTTGTCTGTTAACGTGGAGGCACACGCGGTGGAACGACCCAAAGTGGAATCTGTGTTGTCATTTGAGTGCTGTGCACAAGCCACCACAACAAAGAAGGTGTCTGTAAACAATCCCACGGATACCGTGTGGACGGTTAAACCCATTATTGAAGGCCGGTTGTGGACGGCACCAAGGTCGTTGCAAATAGGCCCAAGGAGTAGTGCCCTGTTGTCTGTGACGTATGCACCACTGTTTGTTACCAAGGAGAAGGATATCGCCACCCTTTTCATCCCACTTCCCAACGGATCTGCCCAACACATTCAATTGGAGGGTGTGGCGTTACATCCGGTGGAGGAAGCCAGTGTCACAGAAAAGACAATAGAAGCGAATACCCCACATCGTGAGTCCTTTGAGATACATAACGGCACAGCTCAGCCTCTACGCTTTCACGTCAGTGTCCAGTGGAGCCCAGAACCGGAGAAGGGCATGGTAACTGTCAAGGCACCAGTGAGTATTGATGTGCCCGCAAAAAATATCAAATCGTGCCCCATTATATTTTCTTCACTAAAGGAGGGTAATCTCCGCGGGACTGCGCAATTTCGCTGCATTGAGCGTGAGGATTATACCCAGGTGTTTGATGTTGCGCTGCGTGTTGTACCAAAGACGGTGTCTTCAATATCACAACTTGTGGCAACCGTACGCAACGCTGCCACTTACCTTATGTCCATTAGAAATCCCTTAGAGAAGAATGTTACTGTTAGTACGCGCGTGGAGAATGGCAACGATGCTATTTTTGTTGATTCCTCCATCACGATTCCACGTGAAAGTACTGCGGATATTCCTATCCGGTTCTTCCCTCTCTTACATAAGGAGTATCCACCGGCGACTGTGACCGCGACAAGCGCGGAGCTTGGCACCATATCCTGTAAACTTCAGCTTCGCTCAAATCCACCTGGGCCAGAGGAGGTTACACGAGTCACATGCCCTCTCGGACAGACGGTTGTGTTTCCACTTCGATTCAAGCATTACTATAAAAGCAACTGCGACTTTGTCGTCCGCATAGGGTCCAAGGTGAGTCCCTTCTCAAAGGCTGGGAGCGCTAGCAATGTCAAAGCGCCCGGAACAACCCGGCCGGAGGGGCAAGAGGTGATGGTGGAGATTCAGTATGAGCCTACGACGGTTGGTGAGACAAAGGAATTCATTGAGGTTTTTTCGCCTCAAGCTGGTCTTTATATATTTCCTGTTCTGGCGTCGTGTTTGCCACCGCAGCGCCAAGGGCCATACCTTATGCGGCCGGGACAGACAACATCCATTCCGTTCCGTAACGTTTTTGCGGAACCCATCACAGTCACGCTATTGACAGACTCATCCAGTTTTGTGGTGTCCAAGAATACAGAGAACGTGGCGGCAAAGAAAACAATTAACATTCAGGTGATGCACAGAGCAGAGGAGGGTGGTCAGGGCCCGCAGACGGGCAAACTTACCGTCTCTGGCGTGTATAATGGAGAGACGTTTCAGTGGGTGTACTACTTAAAGTTGGCTGTGTCGGGCGCGATATCCACCCCTTCAGTATCACCCGTCAGAAAGGGGGAGTAGTGCCTCACTTCTTTGATCAGGTGCCAGTGAGCTCTAGAGAGGAGAGTCAGTGGCGTTGTCTGGAAGAAGACGAGGGAAATGAATTGATGCATTGGGGTTGAATCAAATAATAAGGGCATTGCGGCATGTATGTATATAGCAAATATTCAGTACTCCACTGTTTTCAAGATGTATACTCAAATATGTATATATATATATAGAGAGAGAGAGAGAAAGAAAGAAAGAAAGAGGGAGAGAGAGAGAGAATGTGCAAAAAAAAAAAACGATGGATGGAGCGGGATGAAGAGAGGAGACAAATAAAACGAGGGCCACGTTTATTTGTGTTGTTGTTGTTTTTTTTTTTTTTTCATGCACGATTGGTTCTCTCTGTCTTGTTGTGTGATAAGTGTATGCCTGTTTGTCATTCACTGCCTCATTTGTTTTCTCAAGTTCACTTCCCTCTTTGCTCCGTGCCGGCATGTGCGCTCTGCAGTGAAGAGTTTGGACTATCCTCAGTTTTTTTTTTTTAAGGCTGACTGTTGCCTTTATGCACTTTGCTCTCTCCTTTTTGGCACAAACACGCACATAGAGCAATATAGGGGGCGGGGGCGCAGGTCTCCGGCAATAAGGGAAGGACGGCAAACAACTACGCAAGGTGGGATAAAGAAGAAAAGGAGGAACAACATGTTAGGCGGGGTGTTAGAGAAAATCCGACTTTTTGAGGCTGACATTGAGCACCACATTGACAACATTGTGCAGCAGAAGCTCCTCGTAGAGATCAGCAACAAACGTCACCAGATCCTTCGTGATCACTTTATTACGCAGGAGGCGGAGGCGGTTCGTCCCATTGCCGACAAATTGCTTGACTTGTATCTTGACCAGGACGATATTGTCGCCGTGCAGGAGGCCCCATCCGAAGGCGAGGATGTGTTGAGTGCCGCCCTCAAGGAGTTTGAGGCACAGATTGCTGATATTCGTGAGTATCACCGTACTTTTCGGGACCTGCCGCCGGTTAAGACGGACTTGGACCACCCCGATGCAGCGGCAATGGATCAATTGTTCTCTGTGGGAGAACGCTACGGCAGTTGCCTCGACTTGGAACCACACTACCACCGCTACAGCAACTTTATGCTAACCACAAGCAAACGGGCTCAAGACGAGGCCAACGCTATTGGGATTGCGTGGGAGGGACGTGTGGAGTATTTTGCGTTTATTCCTGCCATACCAAACATTATTCTAAACGGTATTGATGCACATCGTAAGGTGTATGGATTTTCAAAGTACAAGGAGTTTGTTGATGAGCTTTTAGCGTACTTAATCAACTTTTATGGTCGCGTCAAGGTGATGGAGAAGGATGTTTTACTTTTGTCTCTTGCTAGGTGTGACACGGACGCGGAGGAATATTGGTCAAAGCTAATAGAGTATAAGAAGGAGGTTGTGAGGAGTGTTGGCGGGAACAGTGTTGTGAGCTTCACAGATAAGACTGCCTCGTCATTGATTATACCACCTTCGCTCCGTAAATATACAAAAACGTTTGCACTCTGGCCCATTACACACCTGGAGGTCATGATCGCGGAGGGAAAAGACGCCGCTCCCTCCTTGGCGGACGTCAAGGCGGTGATTCATACTGAAGGAAAAATTGCCAGGTTGCTGCAGACACTCCTCTTTGATACCCTGCAGGAGACAGAGAAGGTGCTTCTGCGTGACTTCAGCAAGACAGCGGAGGAGTTGGAGTGGGAACGCAAGCATCAGCAGGAGGAATTTCTGCAGTCCCTGGAAGAAGCAAGAATGAAGAGCGCCACAACGGTGGAGGGTAGTGTTGCACATGCCGCCCAGTATGATGTTATGACTACATTAAATCCAACCGGCGAGTCGAATCAGGCAAATGAAACTGCCGCCGCTGTGGATGAAAATGGCGGGCAGTTACTGGATCGAGATGGAAAACCCGTCGCTCAGTGGCTTATACACCTACAGCAACTCCACAAGAAGTTTTACTGTGAGGTTTGTGGGGGTACTGTGTACGTTGGACCAAAAGCTTTCAAGGAACATTTTGGCGCAGAACGTCATGCTGAGGGTCTCCGCCGGCTAGGGGTGACGGTGCATTTAAAGGAGTACGCGGGAATTTCATCCATTCGGAAGGTTATTGAGATGCGGGATAAGGTGCTAAGCAACACCTCAGGACTCCGAAAGCGTCTTCACGAGGAGCAGGAGGGAGAGGAGATGCAGGATGCGCAGGGAAATGTCATTACAGCAGGGGCGTATAAACGGTTCCAAATATCCCGGAAGGGCATTTGAGTTAAGAACCAAAGAAGGACATTTGTTCTGGTCAGTAGGGGGTTTCTGTGAGTGAGCCCTTGAAAAAGAATGAAGATGGCACACAAGAAGTCTATAAATATCTTCTTAACGGTGAATTTGTTCCGTTTTTTTGTGTGTTTTTTTTTCTTTTCTTTTCGTAGCTTTTTCCGGATGTTGTGTGTTGTTGTTGTTTTTTTGTCTTCTCGTTTTAATGGTGTGGTGCACAGCTGGTGAGACGATGTTTTCTCTCCCTTTACTACGACTGCTCCTGTGTGTGACGAGTGTCACCTACCCGCTTGGCCTGGTGGACAGCTCCTGTTTTTCTTTCGTTTTTTTTAAAAAAAAATTTCCTACCTCTTTTTGGCTTCTTGGTAGCAAGTTTGTACCCATGCGCTAAACGGTTAAGTCTCTCTTCTATCCCCTCCTTGTCTGTCACACAACACACACGCACAACTGTGCCGTGATCATCCTTTTGGATTCTCAACAGAGCAAGAAGGATGGGATCCAAGCGCAGCGCCAAGCGTCCGAGTTCTACGGCCAAAAAGGTTGCAGAAAAAGAGTCCAATGAGAAAACGAAATTAGCAGAGCCTGAAACGACGACGACATCGCCTGCCATCAGTGAAAATCAAGCAAGCGAGTCGTACAGCGAAAATTCACCTGCACTACTTCTGCAGCCACCTGAAGATCCAGCGGCGCCCACGCCGAAAATGTCGAAAAGGGCGCTAAAACGGATGCGTGGATGGGAACCTGTCATCAAACCACCCAAAGACCTGGCAGACTTGCCACCTCCCTCTGCCGTACCGACAGCCGACGTCATCTGGTTAGACAACAGCAGAAGCGTCACACTCATCCCAAACAGCAGCAGTGGAGTGCACACCCGCCGAGGTGCAGCAAACCTTGCCGCCGTCTCGCCGCCAGCCAGTTACCTGGTTTATACTAGGGATCCATTGATCAAAATGGCGCGGGCGGGAAGTAAGAGCGTGCACGTCATGACTAGTATCCCACCAGGTGGGGACCCACGTAGCATTTTGAGTAGTGTGCCGTCAGTGAGCTCCCTCACACAGCGGAGCGGTGAGACAGCTACAAGGGGGCCAAATGTCGCCTCCTCCTCCTCTTCTTCCTCCTCTTGTTTGTCGAAGCCGCAGGAGGAGACAAAGGACGAGAGTGGAAGCGAAGGCGGAGGCGAAACGGCGGCAGGCGAGGAAGAGGAGGTGGAGGAAGCTGATGATGCAGATGCTTCATCTCACAGCGTAAAATCCAAAAACGAGGTGAACATGTCTACATCATGGGTGGAAAATCACAGCAGTGAGGCATCTGCCAGCAAGCGGGAAAAAAACGAGGCATTGAAAATGTCGGGCGACGTCATGTTAAATGTTGCAATGCCACACACACGATTAGGTGGCCTCTCTGCACCACAAGCGATGCTACCACCGCCATATCGACGAAATCGACGTTTGAGGCGGAAGTTGCACATCACGGATGAAACGCCTGTGTTTTTCATGCACAGTGAACTTCGCGACACAATGCCGCAACTTTTTCCAAAAGCCCCTTTTTCTACAGAGGAAGACGTATTGCGCTCGATGCTTGACTGGCATGAAGACCTGACGTTGGTTTACACCCGACTTCTCTGGGAGCTTGCGCCTGACGAGTTTCTCAAGAGGGTTTTGCAGCAGCAGCAGCAACAGCAGCAGCAACAAGGCGATGGGTGCAGCACAAAGGCGAAGACATCTGAGAATTTGTAATCATCTGACTCCTGTAGATGGGGAATAGTAACGGTGTCGTTGGTGTTTTTCTGGTCCTTTCCACGGGGTGAATGAGAGTCCATATGGTTTGCTTGTTTGCTTGTTTTCCCCTCTGCAAGATCTGAGAGCATGCGTGTGGAAGCGTTCCCCACATGAATGGATCAATAAGAATCCTGTGGCCAAAGAAAGTCGCGGCTGCCCTCTATGTTCTCTCCCACCTTTTTAAAATATTGATAAAGTGGGAAACAAGCAAAAAAAAAACACACGACGAGTGACTTGGAGTCAAGTCTTTCTCCTTGTTTGTCTCTCTTGCCCCCTTCTGTCACGCAACCCGCATTAGGGAAGACTACGTACATAAAAGGGTGTTCTCTAGGACAACACTCAGGGCTGCATATAGATCACAGACCCGCTATCATTACCTCACACTTATACGCATAGAGCGAGTGAGAAGAAGATTAACTCTTTTTGTTCTTGTTGTTGGTTGACACATTTACTAGCGTTGAGCTTCCCGTCCTTTCATGCCTTCAGGTGAACCGCAGTTTGCTACAGTCTCGCTTCTCCTTGGTGACGCGGTAGAGGGGACGTTTCGTGTACCAATTACAGATGAAACAACTGTGCGGCGCCTGGCAAAGGACGCAATGCGTCGACTGCTTGCCCGTTACAGCGCCGGGAGGCACGTTTTCCAACAGGATAGAATCTCGGTGACGGAGGTTTTTGTGAAGACCGGCTCAAATAGGGCAGAGATATTCGCACAAGATCTTGTCAACCAAGTTGTGCTTATTAAGGAAGAGGTGTTATACATGCGACTGCACAGGAGGGAGAGAGTGGAGGCAGAGACGGGGGAAGACTCCCTTGCGACGACGGAGACCACGGAACGCATCACTACTGGGGACAATAACAGAGATACCTGCATGAATGCCAAGGCGGTTTCTTCTGTTGACGTGCACTCCAAGTCAGAAGAACTGTCGCAAGAAAAAAAGAATCTCGCGGATACAGGGAAGCCTGGCGTACATGTTTCTTCCGTGCCCGCTGCTGCCGCTGTGTCTGTGGCTGTGGAAAGGCAAAATGAAGAGGAGGTTAAGCGAGAGACAGAGGAGGGGAGTAGCAGTGCGGCAGGTGTGGAGAAGGGAAATGACACAAGACGTGGTCTGGGCTGGGGTCCAGAGGCGCACAAAAACTTCCCCAACAACTATATTGCCAGTCCCAACAGACTCATGCGGAAGCCGCGGACGAAACGAAAGACCACGACAAAGGAGGAGACGCCGTCCGCGATGGAGGCGGAAGCGAAAAGCGAGACAGCGGAAAAAGAGTCTTTACCGGAGACAAATGTTGTCGCGCAGCCAACTCGAGGATTGGCGTGGGGTCCGGAAGCCGGGAAGTATTTTCCTGATAACTATGTTACCTCTCCTGATAGGATCGCCCGGATCAGGAGTCGCGAAAAGCGTCTAGAAAAAAAGAAGAGGCATGAGGAAGAGGAAGCAGCGAGACAATTGCAAAAGAAAAAAGAGGAAGAGGCAAGGTTAAAACAGAACACGGCAGCCTCTCTTCCAACCTTTTCAAAAATAATGCACTCGTTGGAAAGACGTCTGAATGAGGATCAGCACCATGATACTCCTCTGAACTCCAATTCTACCGTGATGACGCACGGAAGCAAGGCGGCAACTAGTCAAGGGGACAAGGAGCCACGAACAGCGCCCACCGCAATTGCAGTAGATTCCACTCCTCACACAAATCATGAGAATGGATGCCGTCATAGTACCGGCCTCAAGACAAATAGAAAAAGGCGGTTCAGTGAAATTGAGGGCGGTGGGAGCGCTTCATGTCCCATCATTGTGGAGCGCCAGCTTAGCTTTGAGGCTGAAGACGCTGCCATTACTCACACACCTCAGGAACAGTCGACACGACGGCTGCTTGAGGGCACTGCTGGGGCGAATCGATCTCAACAAAAGGTCCCACCGGGGTGGGGAAAGGAAGCCACACGTTACTTTGACGTGGATACCTACTTTGATGATCCCAGCAAGGCGAAGCTGAGTCCGGAGATTTTGGCGCGCCCTGTGCGAGCTAGGAGAGACGTCGTGCTCCCGTACTACTTCGCTGCCATATCCAAGTAAGCAGGGGCCAGAAAGGCCTTTTCCCCACCAGAGAGGGGAAGAATGATGTATTTAATCACGTTTTAATGTTTACTGGTTTACTTAGATGCAACAAAGATTCCTTCAATTCATCCCCACCTCCCCATCCACTTTCCCAGAATTAACATGTACGTGCAAAGAGAAGGAAAAAAAAAAAGGAAAGTTTAACACTTGAGGCAGGGGAGGATGAGGATGAGGAGAAGGGAGAAATTTTATATCCAACACTCTTGGGAATTCTGAATTATAGAATGTCATTGATTCATCCCCTCGTTTATTTCTCAATACACAAACAAACGAAGAAGGAAAGAAAAAATGAAATGAAGTGGAAATGACAAGGGGGAAGAAAGGAGAAAAAAAAAAAAGTGCTGCTTGATGCACATTTTATCTTATTCTTCTATATTTCTCTCTCGATCTATTTTTTATCATTTTGTGTGTGTGCGTGTGTGTGACTCTATTGCCTAGACCGTAGTAGGAGATACAGTGAGTACGCGAGCGAGAGATGGGGAAATAAAGGGTTTACCCCCAATGCAAAGCGCAAAGGAGGAAATTACCTTATGCCCCATCTCTCTTTTTTTTTTTGTAGAAAAATACAAACGTGCATATATGTGATGGATTTTATTCACTTACTAGATTTACCTCAATAACGTTGTGTGAGCCTTTTCACAGATAATGTTGTGTCTGGTAAGCGTTATTCGTGTGGCGCACTAAGTGTGAGCCTCTCTGCTCTTCCATTACTAACACCGGTTACTCTTCTTATCAGTTGATTTCTTTTTTGTCTTGTTAAGATTTCTTTTTTGTTGGTGTGACAACAATTTTTTTTTGTCGTAGTTGTGTCTCTCTCTTTCCCTTTAGACATGGAGAGCTGCGGCTGAGATAAAATTGCGAAGAAAGAAGAAGCGAGGAGAGCAGAGTAAATATGGTAAAGGGACCTTTGTGTCTCTTTCCTTCTACTTAATCACCTATTGTTGCGTGCCTGGGTACTTGTTTTACCTCACATCCTGTTTCCATTTTTTATTGATTTATTTGTTTCTCAACACATCTTTCTTAACTCTTGGAGACGACGTTTGCACGGGGGTGGGAAACCGCGTTCAGTTAGACGAAGAGACGAGCTGTGTAAGGTGTCACGCGTATGCATGCGTGAGGAAGATGCTATTGTTTCTCTCGGTGCAGTATGCATTAGCCTATACCAATGCCAGCCCCTTACTTCTTCAAGGAGTAGGTGCCTCTATGGCACGGCGAAGGATTACAGGGGTGATGTTCTGGTGCCTTTTTACAAGGGCTGCTTGACATATAGAGAACTTGCGGAAGGGGTGGAATATCGTCTCAACCAGTACTTTGTTGTGCACCCCTCAGCTGCACCGCAGCAGAAATTCGCAAAAATGTCTACGCGAAAAGCCGTCCCGCATGCCTTCAACGGTGGTGGTGGTGTTTGCAAGAGTAACACCCCTGGCAGTGGCTGCAGTTTTAACGGATCATATGTATGTTCTCGCTGTGACGGAAGTGATGACGCTGGAAGAGCGGCAAACACGCAAACGTCGCAAGGCATATTTGAGGAGTTCCCGAGGATTGTGGTGCGCAACTTTACAAGAGAGCGGGATGCCAATCCTGAAGAGAAAAATGTGATTTACGAAGCCGTCGATGACGCATCGGAGGTAACCGAAGATAATATCTGCTGTTTTTTTTATTACGTCAAAGAGAAGTGCACGAAAACCACCACACCCACTCTCTTGAAGGATGGTAGTATCAAGCGCCCACTGATTGGTCGAGATCATGTGCGCTCATACGCCTCTGACAACGCCTTTACTCACGGCGGGAAGGTGCAGCAACATATTGAGTTGAAGGTGGGCGAACGTTTGCTTCGAATTGGCACTTCCGCCGAACAGAAGTTTGAAGACATCTTTCAGCGCCTTAAAAGGCGAAATCTTCAGGTGCATCGTCTCTTTGATGGTGTTACTGGGGCTAGTATCTTGCCCTGCGAACTCGTGCGCCATCTCAGTTGGAAAGTGTCAGCGCTGTGTGCGGAAGTTACTCTCCCAGATTCAACGTCTGCTGGCATGAAGCGGCGGCGTACCGGTGAAGAAGAATGTCCGGAAGACTACCTAAGATCGAGAATGCGAGATAGGAAGGAGGATGAGGACGAAGTGCAGACGTGGATAAGTCTCTCGGAGGTTCCCACAGGGGCGTATGATGGGAGTACGCTATGCCTAACCTCGGGGTCTCTTAGCGGTAGTGCCTATACAAATGTAAAGGACAGTGAAGACCGACGTTCCTGGCAGTATGAGCAACTGCTGCGTAAAGCAACTTTTGGCTTTGACGAGGATGAAGATACGGTGCCTCTCGTAGACGTCCTCCCACCAGCTCTTCATGATAATTTTGCTGCTTCCGCCGAGGCGGTGGAAGGAAGTACTCCTTTGCGTTCATTCTATTTGGACGATGACTCTTACATGTCGTCTACGTTGACTGGTACCGTTAATGATGCGGCTCGAAGCAGTGTTGCTTTCACAACCCCGCTGCGTCTTGAAAACGAAATTTCAATACAAGGGAGTGGTGACGGTCTTAGCCTGCGGCGGCGCACGGTGCGATCCGGTTGTGGTGCATATTCTCCTATAATGGTCACTCAGCAGTCTCTGCCTGATTTTCTCCTTGAGAATTCCGACGATAACAACGAGGATGAAGACGAATATGACGATAATAACTGAGGCGAAGGAAAAACTAACCTTTCTTGACGATGATATACGTTTTTTTCCCCCTGTCTGGTGGAATGCTGTGTTGCTGCTGATGATGTCGGCAACTTCGACAGAACTATGCTGCGGGATACAGGAAAACAAAAAGACGAGTTATGCTCGGACTAAAGAGCGTGTGAGAAAAAGAGATTAAGAAGCTTGTTGTTCGCTGCCCTTCTGCATAGAAGATTATTTTCTTCCTTTTCATCATTATCTTCATCAGAAGCTGTAGCATTCAACTCAACCCCTTCGTGTCGCGCGCACACACACACACACACAGAGAGAGAGAGAGAGAGAGACGCACGCACGCACGCACTCTCTCAAGGGTAAAAGGGGCATAGTGGAAATGCTCAGAAGAAAAGGTTACATTGGACGTCAGCTGAGACCGTCGCAGCTGGCGAGGGAACTCTTGCCGGCGGACCAGACATGGTGTGCGACATGCCATCTGGCGGTCTTGAAGAAAAACTGGTCAGATCATCGGGCGTCGCGTAGTCATCGCCTTGCCTCATCGAAGATGCAAAAGATGAAGCAACTTTCACTTGACATGTGGGCACGGCACCGCGCTGCACCATTACAGGAAGAAAGCGCCCATGAGAAAAGCATTGAGGCGGAGTTTGAACGATTCCGCAATGAGCAGAGGAAGCGTGAAGGGATGATTCACGTATCGCCCTGGAAAAAGTGAAGTTTTCCTGACCTTGTAGTTGGTACGGTTGAAGGTGAGGAAGAACAACCACTATTTGTTGGTTTCTTTATTCACAATGCTTGCGTTGGTGGAATGGTTGACGAAGCGAGTTCCCTTCTTATTATGTGCGTGTTTTTTATTGGTACATCTGCATTCTTTGTTTGTTTGCATCTGCAGCTTGTGGAGGCACTGTACTACTAGGTAGTGTTCCGTGCATTTCTTTGCTCTGCTGGCGGTGGAGGGAACGGAGGTTTCCTACATATATCTGGTTTTCTCTCGCAGAGGGGTGAGAAGAAGGGAGAAAGTGAAAGAACGGAGAGGAGCTTGTTTACGTGATGTTGTGACTTCTTCTTCTTCTTTTCGCGAAACAGCAATAACAAGCACAGCACACGTTAACGATCCCGCTGTGAGAGAACTTAAGGTACTAACAGGGGCGGCATGCAGCGTCCCAAGGGCATAAACATTCTTATCACGGGTACGCCCGGAACGGGCAAGACGTCTCTCGCTGAGCTTCTTGTTCAGGAGCTTGGTGACTTTAAGCAGGTTGAGGTTGGAACGATTGTGAAAGAAAACTGCTTCTACAGCGAGTACGACAAGGAGCTTGACACGCATATTGTGGAGGAGGACGATGAGGATCGGTTGCTTGACTTTATGGAGCCCATGATGGTGGGCGGAGACAATCATGTTGTGGATTACCACTCCAGTGAACTGTTTCCACAGCGATGGTTTCATCTTGTGGTTGTCCTGCGCACCTCTACGGAGGTCCTCTTTGAGCGTCTCACCGCGCGCAAGTACAGCGACCAGAAACGCGATGAAAATATGGAGGTTGAGATTCAAGGCCTCTGCGAGGAGGAGGCACGTAAGGCCTACGACGATAGTATTGTTGTTGTGCGGGAAAACAATACTCTAGACGACCTGGCGGCCACCGTCGACTTGATACGTCAGCGCGTAGACGCTCTGAGAAGGACTACGGCGTAGTGGCGATGTCGTCCCTCTTTTTTTCTTTTTGTAAACAATAATAATAAAAAAAAAAAACGTCTTTTAGAACGAAAAATAAATAAATAAATAAATACAACATTCGAATGGATGTGGGTGTGTGGGAAGCAGCTTCTGCTCTAGTGATGTTAAGTCCTATGAGATTTCCTCTTTGTTCATTTCTTTTATTGCTGCTCATCCGTCCGCCTGTCTGTCTGTCTCTCTCTCTCTCTCTCTCTGTGTGTGTGTAATTTATGACATTCCCAAAATAACGCAGTAGGAGGGGGTGGATTATTATTGTCTTTGCGTGGGCGGACCTTTTTTTATTATCTTTTTCCAAGAGAGCTTTACTTTAAGAATGCCGCTTCGCGCGAGGTTCCCACCTGTGGGGTGCAATATGAACGATGCGGGCTACCCTTTCCGAGGCGAATACAAAATGGAGCCGCCACTCAATCACGGACACACGGGGGCGCTTCGAAAGGGTTCTACCGTCCTTATGCTCCGCATAACGGGTGCCAACCTCGTTATTGAGAAGCTACAGCAGGGTAAAGGACAGACGTTACAGTGCGAACTCGCTGTGGACAGTGGCCCGACAAGGGCAATTGTCTTCCCATTCGGCAGCTGTGCGGTGCCCGTACCTGACGACGGCCGTGATTACCAACTCAACGCCGTGGTGCAGGGAGGTGGTGTGAAACACCAGTGCAAGCTTATTTTAAGTGGAAGCGAAGGGAGAAGTGTCCTGCGACTGCGAGCACCGCCGGATCCTCGGCTCACAGATGGCATTGTCTTAACTGTGGACGGAGAGAGGATTTACCCCAACGAAGGCTGGTATGAGATTCCCATTCAAGCCAAAGAGTGTTCCTTGGAGACGGCAGAAATAAGGGATCCACGGCGTCTCTCTCCCTCACTTGCAACTACACAAGTGCCAACCCCTGCCACCATTTTGGTTCAAACCACCGCTGGGAATGAGGATAACGCTGTTCTTTTCTGCAGTGGGAGCGGTGAGTCTCTTCACCTCACACCGAACCGTGCCGTCTCAGTTGCAGTGGAAAGTGGTCCATTTACATTTCAACTGCCTCGTGTTGCAGCGACACAGCAGTTCATCTCCTCTAGAGCGTTCACTTCTTCATATGAGGAACCTGTGGCGACGGATTTTTCTGCACCTCGTGTTCCAGAATTAGAGACAATGTGTGTGCCAGCTCCCTCTGGGGATACATCACCACCAACATTTGTCGCCACAGCTGAAGGTTTTATGATTGAGTTGATTGGAGACAATGGATCATCCGCGTCGGGATATGGGACTGCTCAACTTCGCCTTCCTGATAGAATGGAGCATCGGGTTCGTACCATTATCATGGATCCTTCCGGGCGAACGCTGCTTCGTCACAATACGGTGGTGCCGTCAACGGAACGAACCTCTTTGGTCTTCAGAATTGCGGAGGGTGCGCACGGGGCACGGTTTATCAGTGGAAAGCATCCTTCTCGAATCAGTGTTGACAATCTTCCACCCGTCAGTGGTGATGCCGGGGTGTATGTTGATAGTGGCACGCCTCATGTCGTGACCGTGCAGGATGATGCCTCACTTGCTGTGTTTGAGATTGGATCACAGCAAGGCACTTTCCATCAACCCATCGCAGAAGCAGCTCGCACTGAAGCTGAACCGTGGATTGCACAGCTTGCAAAGGCCTTGCAAAGTCCCGATCTTGATACTGCTCAGCGTGTAATTCAAGGCATCATTCCAACCACCTCTGAAGCCACAGCTATTTGTGGCTTTGTCTCGGAGGAATTATTCAGGAAACCAGCCAGAATATCTTTCAACAAGATAAACGAAACTGTGAATGAGATTCAGTGTGTGGGGTACGGCATCACAGCTGCTGTGGACAATGGGTCACCCTATAAAATTGCTGCGGGTGGAAGTGTACAAGTGCCGTGGGGTCATAGCATAACCTTGACTGCCGCCACGCTTTCCACGGGGCGTACCGTTGCCAGCTGCTGTCTGAACAACCTACCTATAGATAAAAATTTAGATGAGCTACTTGTTGCTCGGCTGCTTGAAACGTTTCAGAGGCATAGCACGAGTTTGGACAAGGTAGTGTCGGAGTTGTCAAATATTACATCAAGTCAGTCTTCCAACGGTCAACGACTGTTACCGCTTCTTGTGGACTGTTTGCGTCGCCTACAAAGTCATCTTCAACGTCCCATTTATTTGAGGACTGCTGAGACTCCTGAAAACACGCAACTGTTTCTCACCCTCGATGACAGACCACAAATACAACTCTCACCCCACACCACAACGGAGGTCCCACGTGAGACGAATAATATTTGCATATCACTTCGCCGATCAACCTTGCCTGTGCAACCACCGCGAAATGAGCTTGCTAAGGCGTTGGTGAATGCTTTTTATCTCCCATCACCGCCGCCGCTTCCAGTCCGTTGGGGATCCATTCCCACAGAAGTTCAAGAAGAGCGTGCTCTGTTGGATTTACTGCTACAACTTATACGCGATCATGAGAATGAGTTGGCACGGCAGCGTGCTCAAGGTGTTGCTGCAGTTTTAACAGATTCTCTTCAGTTTACCTGTGAGGGTGGATGTCTGAAAAATGTTAGAACGGAGAGACCGTGTCGACTAACTGTGGATGTGGATGGAACTGGTTTCATGAACGTGGAACAAGGTGGTCAGATACCGCAGGGGTATGCGTTTCCTCCAGGCTCTGTGCATCGTGTTCACATCTTAGCACGTGATCCCATAAGTGGTGTACCTTGTGCTGAAACTCGAGTCACGTTGATGGCTCCAGACTCGGTAGCAATGCCTGGACAAGTGACTTCTTCAGTTTCTTGCTTTTTAGATGCCAGTGTTTTGCAACTGCAGGAAGAGGTACAACTTCGACTCGTCTGCCCTCCACACCTTCGTATTGTCTCGGAAGTAGATGGCAATGGTGGTGGCAACACTGGGAAGGCGGAGTTTGTTGTGAGGATGAGTTCTGCACGTCCACATAACGTGAATGTGCGGCTAATTGACGATGCTGGGGGGGTGGTGTTTGAGCAACGTCTTGCTTTACCTCCAATGATGGCATCCCTGTGGTCTCTCGGGCTTGAAAATGCGTCACTGCAAGTGGATGCCGTTAATGGGGGTAGGGGCGGAACCATTGTGAAGGCCTCGTTGGATCGATCGCCAGAGAGGGACCTTACTGTATCCTTGCCTTTTGACAGCAATGCTCCACATACCATTTTGTTGCGCAGATATTTTGTGGGACAGGAAACTTGGAACACGTATGCTGGGGAGCTTACCCTGCGTATCCCCGCATTTGTCAACCCTGCGTATGTGGAGGACGTTGCTCGCGTGTACCGAAATGCACGGTCAGATGGGAACGAGGAGCTGCGCACTCGTCTCACGGAACTTCGCTCCCGCATCCCGTCCAGCGTTGTGAAAGAGCTTATTTCCGCGCTTATAGAGTCTCTGGCTGTCTCTCCTCACGCCGTCCGCGGCAACGACAGCGATGTTCATGTCCACTTTAGGCTCAGCGGAGATGAGTCGTCTTTTGCTCGTTGATGGGCAACGCGTGGAAATATTTTATTTTTAAAAAATGTCTTCATCGTGCAGGAGGGTGAAAATGCGGACGAGTCTTCTGTTTTTTTTTTATCCGCCACTGGATTCCATAGACTTGAAAAGCTGCGTCAGCGATAGCGTGAATAATGTGTGGTAGTGTAGGTTTATTTATTTATCGCTATTATTTTGGTTCTTAGTTTTCACAATTGGAGGCGCTGAGAAGGAGGTGAAGGATGCGCACACATATAATATGCGTATATTATAGAGGGAATCATAGATGCAGTGAAGGTGGCAGGGAAGATTTATTACGTGTATCATCTGCATCTCCAGCTGTTGCGGAGAACAAGGGGAAGTGTGACAAGAAATTTTTGAGTCTGTTCGTCATGTAGAAGATGAGTGCGTAATTGTGTCTCTCCGATATATATATATTTGTCTCTTCTGTGGGTCTGTCTTCTCCGGTGACTACATTTCTTTGGAAGGGCAAGCCATATATATATATATATTACTGACAAGGAGGAGCACGTTTTTTTGTGCGGGGTGCGCGTTTTGTGACGGCCGGACCGTATGCACACATCTCCACTGGAGGGAGATGTAGTTGCTTAAGGCAATAAACATTGCTATGTGTGAGTTAAAGGTAAGAGAACTGGCACACTTGGTCTATTCCCGCCTTTTCTCTCTTTATATGGGACAGCATGAGAGAGATCACTTCAATCTAATGCTACGCGACCGTGGAGCGTATTTGGATAGGCAGAAGGATGCTCTGTGTTGAGTATACCTCGTGATATCCAGTGGCCTTCTTTGTCTCTCCCTTATGCTAATGTGCATGCCGACGCCGTGGGACGCAGGTGTCTGATCGAGAAGTTGGAGTGGAAACTGTACCATAACTTGATAGAGCCATTGAAAAAATGACTGAAAAAAAAAGACATGTTTTTCCCCCAATTTTTTGTATTGGTTTTTGCTTATTTATTTGTCTTTCTCTTCCTCTTATTGGAGATGAGTAAAAGGGAAGATATTATTATTATTTTTTGTCTTCTTTTTTTTTTGTGTGTGGGGGGCTTCTGCGTGGTTCTTTCGTTTTTGTTTGTCTTTGGAGTTCCTGTGCGCATCTTTTTTTTCTTGTTTTTCTTGCGGCACCACGACACTTTGATCATGAACAGACTCACGACTAAAGACCTGCATCTTGCCTCCCCCTTCGGCCTTCTTTCTTTCTTTCTTTCTTTTCTCTCTCTCTCTCTCTTGATCCTTCTCTCCATCTCATCCTGCAACGCGCGACCCCCATGTGTCTCAGTAGTGGCTGGCGGGCTGTGAGAAAATGGGCCGCCGGATTCGGTACAGCCGCCCAAGGGTGGCTCTGCCAGAGACGCTGCTGGACTTTTTGTGCACCCGCTTTTCTTACCTATCACGTGGTCAGTGGGCTCAGCACCTGACTGCAGGGCACTTGCGGGTTTTTAGACCTGGCGATAATAACACTGTATCAACCTCCGGAGACTACTTGTTGCGCCAAAATGACGAAATTTGTTTTGATCCCCCGCGGGAGCTTGAACCGAACGTTGACGAATACATTCACGTTATGCACGATGACGACGCAGTTCTCGTGTGCGTCAAGAATGGCAATCTGCCGGTAGCAGAGGGGGGGCGCTACTCTGGCAATACGCTAGTAGGTCTGCTTCAGCGACGCAGCGCGGAATCTGTCGTTTCTAGGGAGGATGCGGCCGCAAACATAAAAAGTGATCAAAGGAATGATGAGGATGGGGAGGCGGGGATCGCAGCGACTAAAAAACATGCGTTGTACCATCCTGTCCACCGTCTGGACAAGGAGACATCTGGATTAGTTGTATTGGCGAAGCACGCTGCTGCGGCGAGGGTTCTCTCCACACAGTTTGAGCAGCAGTCTGAGCGGATCACGGAAGAACTTGCAAAGCGAACTGATTCCTCTAGATACAAGCTGAGCGCAGAGGAGTTTGAAGAGCTTGTGGCAGATGAGAAATATGTCAACAAATCCTATATTGCTGTCTTGGCTGGTGCGGCTCGTGAAGGGGCTGTGTTTGTCATGTGTGACCGTATTGGTTTTCTCTTTGACAAGCTGCTGAAAGAGGAAAATGCGGAGGCTGTGGTGAAGCATATGAAGTTGAAGAAATTGAAGATGACATGCTTTTCTGATAATTTAAAGGAAAATCCATTGCAGCACGGCCGTCCAGCAATCTCTCGGATTCGTATTTTAGGCAGTGATAAGACGATTGGAGTCTCTGTCGCACGTGTGGATATTTTAACAGGAAGAACACATCAAATACGTCTACACTGCGCCCAGCTAGGCTACCCTGTGCTTGGCGACAAGTTATACGATACGACTACGCCAGGTGTGGTGGGCGGCGGATGCGCCGTTGCAGATGACACGTATCTTGCGAGAGCGAGGGAAAGTAAGAGCCTAGTAAGTGCAGTGGCACCACGTTTACGGGTGAAGCGGCATCTTTTACACGCAGCTGTGCTGTCGTTTCTGCACCCCGTTACTGGGGAGCGCATGACGTATTTCGCGGACCCACGTGAGTGGTTTCTTCGTGATATCGTGGAGGAAGCGGGGGGATCGACTGTAAAAACAACTGCAGATGGAAGCTGTTCAGCTCTTGAGACGCTGCAGCAACTCTTGGGGAGGGCGGTGGATGTGTTGGACCCTTGATGACGCGTGTTTTCAAGAACTGTTACCACTACGGCAACAATATGGAACTGGACTGTGAAGGAAAATTTTCACACCGATGCTGCGTGTTTGTTGTTGTTGAGGAAGGGGCCACTCGTGTGCCATTGTTCATCTTGATTGCAAATGTTTGTGGTGATTGCTCTTTTTTTTTTTCGATCTGCGCTTGTATCAAAATAAAATAAAAATAAAAAAGATGAAGACCGCACGTAGGTCTTTCAGAAGTATAGTTTAAGTAAAAAATAGAGAGGCGTAGTGCATCACACACTTACAAGCACACGTACAATATACTTGGCAAACCAGGAACGCGAAATGGCGAGTGACCCGATGTGGTCCACAGTGAACGAGGCTCGCCTGCTCTTTGCCGCGGAGGTGTTCCTGGCAAACATTCCCTCCATCGTCGCAGAGCTTAGCTCCGCTAAGTATGCACTTTTTGTGTTTTCTGATAAGTCCAGGAACGAGGTGAAGCAGAAGAGTTCATTGATACCCGCTCTAAGTGACGTCTACCGCAAGTTGCTCGAGGTGCGAGGCAGTCTGTGCGGAGAAAAACAGAGATTGAGCGAAGTTGAGACGCAACTAGTGCGGTCGTCGCCACCCAAGTTCATCTCTATGGAAGAAGCCCACCCTGCAGAGACTCCAAGCGCTGTTTACACAAGTGATCACCGCCGCAGCGATTTCGCAGAGGCCGAAAACGAACTACTCACGGAAGAAAACCTTGTGACGCCTCCTGCTGCAGCAATTGAGGCGCCCACATCTGCTTCTGTTGGGGGGGCAAATAGTTATGGGGCGAGCAGCGGCGCCGCACCCAGTGGCGATGCTGCGCAGACTGTGGTGGTATTGAGCGCGGACGACCTCAAGTGGGTGCGGGAATCCGAGTCTTTGCTTGAGGAAGAGCGAGATAGTCTGGTGCGTCTCTCAAGGGAGACAAACGAGATGGAGGAACAATTAGAGGAGGCTCGGTCCCTCTGCGAAAAGATGACAAAGCACGTTCAAAGCCATAAGTGCATGTACGAAACTTCATGCAGTGAACTTATGAAAGTAAAAAGTGAGCGGCGTCAATACGCGGTGATACAAGAGGAATGGGAAGAACGATCTAAGATTATTAATGAGGCTCAACAGGAGATGGAGGAATTGTTTGCACTCTGTCGGCATGAGGAGGTGGCCATCATTTCCGGCGCTGTAGATGGGTTACGCGAACGCGTCGGCATAAGCCACAAGGAAATTGAGAAGAAGAAACACTCTAACGAGGTGGAGTTGGCTGTATATCAGATTGCCTACAAGGAACAACAAGCTGTTGTAGATGAGTTGAGAGACGCCATCAGTTATCTTAAGCATCATCAGTGGGAGTTGGAACTGATTGCAAAACGGCAAGAGATTGAAAAGTTGAAAAGAAACAGTATACAACGAGTTTTGATGTCCTCTTTGCACATGTCTCTGGACACGAGAGAGATGGTGGCACAGGAACTGATAGAGCAGCAGCTTGACGAAGTTAAAGAAGATCACCGAATGGTGAGTTTTGTGTCCGCACGCATTGGTGTGATGGAGGCGCGCCGAAAGGCGCTTGTGGCAGAGTTACTTCGTATTTCCCCCTCAGAAAGTGACTCCACACGTGTGAAATGCGCACTACGGCGCATGCGGGACCTTTTGAAGGAAGAAATCATCGTTGACGAATCAACGCTGCAGGATGACGAAAGTGTCACCTCTTTGTACAATAGGGATGTCTCGCTGCCGCGTTCCTAGTATGCTGAGCTTCTCCTTTGCGTGTTTGATTTTTGAAATAGGCAGCCTTTTGTCCCTTGTTGTTCCCCTTGTAATCCAGTATGTACTGTACTATACATACATTGTTGTATTCATTTTTCTTTCTTGGTATTTTATCTAGTTGTGTTATTTTTAAAATTTTTATTTTATTCCTTCTGCTTTCTCGTCAGCTATTTCTGGTTCTCTCATCCACGCGTTTTCTGTCCCCGCATGCTACATGAATAGGATATAGAAAAGACTGGGGGGGGGGGGGGTGATTGAGGACACGACATCAACAAACGTTGGCCTCGTCTTAGCGAGCTTGCGAGTTTGGAGCATCAAAGGGCGTAAAACAGCGGCTGCTGTTGGTAACTGGTGACGGCACAAAAAGGCAAGGGAACGCACCTCCATTATTATTGTTATTATTTTCGTTTTTTATTCTGACGTGTGTGTGTGCGTGTTTTTTTTTTAAGAGGAGACCCGTAACGTAGGGACGGGATGCAATACTCCATCTGTGTTGCCACAGATTGTGACGGGGAAAAAGTTAACCTGCGGTTTCTCTTCGACTCCTACGGCCCATCGCTGGTACAGCTTCTCAACCGCTCCATTGTTGCATTCAACAACGTCTTTCGTCTTCGCTCTGTGCCCCGCATATTTGCCGTGAGCGCGGCTGTTGTATTCAACGATGTGCACAGCACGTGGGATCGCCTAGAGCGGTCCACGCAGTTGCTGCACAACAGTCAGGTGTACCTCTTCCAGCCTGACATTCTTGATCTGCCAGCAGAAATACCTGAGCCGTTTGAGGGTCAATCACTACTAGACGAAGACTATGTCTCGCCACGACGTGATGTGTCCACTTCACCGCATGCTTTGGGTCCTTCACACTATGAACCGCGGCCTGCGATCACGATAGAAAGTCCGCGGGGGATGCCAATGCGGCATGATAGTCAAAATAAGCTATCGATTTGTGGCGTTGGAAGTAGAGTCCCCCTCGGCAGTCACTACTATGACGTGAAGGATGATGGGACAAAGGATAGGTTTTGTTCAGCGTCGTTTTCAACGCCGAAGCGAGGGGATAGCCACGATCTCCTGAAAGGTGATCAAATGTCCCTCTTGAAGCAAAGTTTCCACTTGTCTTCTGCATCACCCCCGATTCGACAACCGAGGGAATCAAGCATACGTAGCCGCAGCGACAGCAGAAGGAGCATCCTGCGTGAGGAGCGAGAGAAGATTGAGTATCAAATGCAGCTTCCTATTGACGAGATGCGGCGTAAGCTAAGGGAGGAGACGCGACAGCTAGAGCGTAGCATCAGCCCCATGTCAAGGCAGATGATGAATTGATCCTCACAATGTTTCAATAGTGGGGAGGAGAAGAGATGAATTGACATATGGAGAAGAAACAAAGATGTAGTGAAGATATATATATATATATATAACTTTTGTCCATATGTGATGTGTACGTATGTGTAGAGCAGACCCCTATGCTATCTCTGCCTTGATGGAGGCTTGGTTTGAACATTTTTCATCTTGTTTGTGCGTATTCTCGTTTGCATCGTTACGTTTACTTTGCACTCTCACGCGGCTTTACGTTACTGTAGAGGGCACACCACGTCTTTGTGGCGCAACTAGCCAACCTTAGGAGAGGGAAAAAGAAAAAAAAGATACTGCCTTTTTACCAGTGGGACATTATCCTTCGGTACAAAACAGAAGAACGGGGGAGTATGAATTACTCTGGTAGCTATAAGCATTGTTTCTTATTTCCACGGGCTTGGCCCCCTGGATATTTCAGAAAGAAAGAAAAAAGGTTGTCATCATGCAATCACCTTCTATTACGGAATGCCAAGTGTACAGGAGTTTTATATTTTATTGTTGTGTGAATGAAAATGTCTGGATTTTCAATGACATTTGTGCCTCCTCCTTTGTATACTTCTGCATTTCTTTTTTTTTTGCTAATTTTTGTTGTCTCTGCTCCTCTAATGGGGCCGCTGTGAGAGACGGAAACGTCTCCTGATTCCTCTCTATTTCTCTCTCTCTCTATTTTTACCGCTTTTTGCATGGCTGTGTTTTCCCCTGTGTTGGTGTGTATGGCGTCCCCCTCCGTGTCTTGTTAAATTGTGTCGTTCACCTTGAAATGATCGCGATTTTCTTCACGTCTATGTGTTTGCTCTTGCATTATGAAGAAGGGAGGGGAATAGAAGAAAGGCCAAATGGGTGGACCCACGTCGGATCTAACAACGCTGCGGGCCTCCTGCAAGGCAATCTTGGCACGTCATCAGCGTGGCCTCACTCTTGAGCTACCCTGCGTTCTGTGCCAGCAACGAGTGCGAGGGCAGCAGAGTATCTTGGAACACTACTCTGACGCCCATGGCATTTATATCACAAACTATGACAATATTGTAGATCTTGACGGGTTTTTCACGCACTTGCGCAGCATGTTGTTCCTTCGCAGCAATGAAAGGATGTACTGCCCAGTGTGTCGCAAGGACTGTGGTGAGGAGGCCTTGTTGATAACACACATAGCGGAGGAGGGTCACACCCAATGGGATACTGGCACAATTCCCACACTAGCACCCTTCTGTATTACAGCTGAGAAGTTCATGGAAGGAGACGAGGAAGAAGAAGAAGAAGAAGAGGCAGAGAACACAAATGGCGACAATGCTGCTGAGAATGTTGATGATGACGATGATGATGAAGACTGGAGTGTCGAGCCTGCTCTATGTTTGTTATGCGAAACAGCGTCAGAAAACTGCCTGAGTCATATGATTGATGCCCATGGAGTTGACTTTCGTGCCGCGGTACGATCGCACGTGGGTGTACGTGACGTGTACGACATTATTAGAATTGTCAACGTCATTCGCAAGTGTGTGGCGCGGGGTACCTGCCCTTTTAATTACCGCGGTGAATCAACTGACGTGGAGGAATGCCGTTGTAGTATAGTCGCATCCTCGCTGGAGGCGCATCTGCGGGAGCACCCGCTCCATGCCCTTCCTCGCGTGGTGCCGTCTGATGACTGTGAACTCATTCCGGTTCTCTGCGGTGATGCATTCATCTCGTCTGTCGTTGTGGGAGGTGACCTCCTGACGCAGGAAGAAGAGGATCCGGACTACCCCATGGTGCCTACCATTGCGGAGATGGCAAGGAAACAGGCGGAAGGTAGGCAGAAAAGGGGGAGTATGTAGTGGGCATTCTGTTTCTGCAACGTCTACTCCATAACTCCAGATTCATGTTTTTTTTCTCCCCTTTTTGTTTACGGGATGACACCCAACGGAAATTGTGGAAAAAAAGCTGCGTCATTGGTAAAAGCGCTTAACTTTGATATTAAAGCGGATAAAACGAAAAACAACCACAACATTTAATATGACACTTTAATAGTATTTATTATTACTGTGTTTTGTTTTGTTCATTGTGTGTAATTCCCTTGGCCTTGTCGTTTTGCTCCCAATTGTGCCGCAACGTACTACACCAACCTGCACAGGTGATTGAGCGCACACAGTGCAAGAAGGAGTAGAGGTAAACAAGGATTTTCAAGTTTTAACGAGAGGCTCAAGAAGGAAAATAAAAAGAAAAGAAGACGCATAGGTCAAAAGTATGGACGACGCACTCATGCCAAAATTACTTCGTCTTGTGCGCAATGGCAGGACTCCACTGAAGGGCTGCAACGTATTTATTTTTGGGAATTTGCAAATGCTTGATCTGGGTCCGTGCTTTGAGGACGAAGAAGCTCTGCAGGCACACCGCTCCAAGAAGGGGATGTCGTCGGAAGTTGCGCTTGTGGTTTCCGTTAAGGGTGCTGTAGCTGAGATTTGGCGTTTCCAAGACTACAGAGTGGCGAGTGTGATGTCGCCCAACTCCAAGGCATCCTTCTCTACAGCCGCATCTCAGGGAGTTGTGATAACAGAACAGCAGTGGAATTCGTTAGAAATATTAATACGTGTTATCTTTGCGTATCTACGCATTCACGAAATATTTGTGGATATTGCAGATATCGATGCCAGCGATATAGTCTTGCGTCTGGTTGTGGACATGGACGAACTTCCGCGTCTGGAAAAAGACAGTTGTGTAAGGAGGCTTTGGGCAGTGGAGGGGTTGGTGAGTGTTAGCGTTACCTACAACCAACTCTGGCGTGCCTTTCTCAAGCGGGAGGAGAATAAGGTAATGGTGAGTAATGCGGCAGCAACCGCAAAGGGGGAAATCATCGCTGAACAACGTGTGGGAACTGCGTTGGTTCCCTGTTCAGAATCAGTTGGCAGTGGGCGCTCGATTCTAACACCGCACTTTGCTCCAGGTCCCCTGCCAAGCTCTGTTGGGTCAAGCTTTTTACTGCAGAAGTGGCCGAAGAGCCCCACCTTGCCCTTGTCTGATTTTTCTCTTCCCCTCACCTCAACAGCCGTGGCGGACAACAGCTACTCATACTATAAGACCCCTTCTCAAGGTGCTGTCGCTGCGGCAGTTGCGGCACATGGCACACGCACTCAAGCAGTTCGTGGCTATACCTTTGCTTCAGTCCCAACCTTTGCGGCTCATATAACTGACTCACACTCTGATCGTGAAAGTGATACGACAAGTTCTCAGGAGCTGCTTCATGAATTGTTGGAAGTCTGTGAAGTAAGCCTTCATGAAGCAACCATTAGTATTCACGAGGTGCTCGCTATTCTTGAAAAGAAACCACTATGCTCTTGAAAAGAGACAACAACAAGTGGGGGGGGGGGAGGGGGCGTGGTGGTAAATTCATGATGTGTCTGGCAAGGTATATCTGCACACAGCGATTTAAGTAGTTTTCCTTGTTGTGGTTGTGGTTGTGGTCTTTCTTGCATGACCAGGCAAGGAAGAAGTCTCGTCTTATGTTGGATGGAGCTGTGCAAAGGGATTGAATTACATGAATGCCGCTGATTAGATATGGAGTAACAAACTATGTATATAAGAGAACCAATGAGGAACCAGAAACTGCTCAGTTTTTCACTATATTTCCACCGCGTGTATTTTTTTTGTTTTGTTTTGTGTTGCCGTATTATTATTATTTTTTGCACGGTTATATTTCGTTGTCAATTTAGTTGTTGGTGCGGTTTTTGCCACACACACATACACACATACACGTTCTATTACTCACACAGCTAGTTCCAACCGCGCCTCTGCCCACACCACTCTTTTCCCTTTTCACTCGGAATGCTGCCTGTACGCCCCATCTTGCGTGTGCTGTGACTCGCCTCACTCCGGATCTTCTTAGGGCTCTGCACTGACTCACCCTCTCTATCTTTTTTCTTACGCGCGGCATTGCCCACGTCATAGGTAGGTGGGGACTGTTCATTCAGCGGGATGCGCCCAGGGGTTTTTTAAGCAGTGTTCGACCTCTTTGACATCTGTGGAGCCATCTTGAGGTGTCCTTTTGTCGGTGCACATTCCATTTTTACCGAATTTGCTTCTCATTCTTTCATAATGGGCGAACGCTATTCACAGAAGATGGGGGGACAGTTAATGCACGTTGGGCGCCAGATGAAATTGACGCCCCCTTTCTGGATCACATAGAAGGAATGGAAAGAGGAGGGATTGCGGTTGCGTTCAGCGAGAGAAGTATCTTCTTGTCGACCGTACAAGGAGGGAATGGCATCCGTTTCGATTGTCGTATATACCACCTTTTTGTGGAAGAAGCCGATTTTTTTTTTTTTGCGGCGACCTCTGCCAGGACGTGGCGTCTCCAGTGGGTTGCATTGGATATACACTGAAGGCCAGTCGCGCGCAGTATCTGCTTTAAAGTCCTCTTTTATATGGATGTAAAATATTTTTGCTTGCGTCCACCGCATGCTGCTTGATGCGTTGCGCATTAGGAGCTGCATGGAGGTGATGGGCCGTCGTGGTTTGCCGCTTGCCATCCCCCGCATTGTCGTGACAGAGTCAGAAGGATAATGAGACGACAGTGAAGCGTGCAAAAACAAAACAAAATAGCACTGCCTTAAATTTGTCCTTTTTTTTTTTGAGTGTGTCTGTGGGGGATGGGGCCTTGTCAGTTGTGCATCAGGTTAGATGAGATACACATATGTATTTCTTGCGTCTCCGTCCTTCTGAGTGCGTGCCAGTTCCATTTGCTGAAAGGTTGTAGAGGATTTAAAAAAAGCTGAAGAAAAAAAAAGGAATAAATCAAGTATAAGGTGAAGTGTAAAGTTGTTGTTGTTGTTGTTTTTTGGCTTTTTGCCTTCGTTGTTTTTTTTTTTTTTTTATCTCTTCCTTTTTTTTTCTTTTTGCCCTCATTACACGCATACGTACAGAGCAGGGCGAGTGTAAGGAAGGAGGTTGAAAGAGAGAAGGAAGAAGACGCCGTGAACTCACACCATGCAGAGCGCCTTTACAATACGAGTCGGAGAGAAACAGGCTGACGGTGTGCGGGATGTTTCGGTGCTGCACAACGGTGAGGTTCACTTCTCCACTTCTCATCACAACGTGAAGTGGGCGTTTTTGACGCGATTTCCAGCTCCTTCCAATCAGAAGCGAAGTTCGGTCCACGTAGGTAGTTCACAAGGGAGTCCGTTTTCCAATAGTGAGTTGGACTTGAAGGCAGGAGCTGCTGGGGACGACCGCACTGGAGCTGCACGTTACGGTGGAAGCGAAACTATGCAAGAGTACTTGTGTGTATTTTATCGTGATGAACCAAAGGATCGGCACAGCCATTACACTGCGCATCAAGCATCGACTATATGCTCCGCGTACAACACTGTACGCCCTGCTGCTGTCACACATTTTGTGCTAAAAAATATTGTTCCTACGACAGTGGTGCCAGGATTGCGTGGTGTATTTGTTCACGGCAGTCGACAGTCTTCACGGGGATTCTCATCAAATGTGCTGCAAGTAGAAGGGTTTATGTTTTATCAAGCAGCAGACTTATGGTGGATGGCTTCTCAGCTAACAATTAGACCGGTTTATGTGAATTCTGGTGATATGAAATTGACAACGCGTCTTCCTACTAATCCGATCGTCACTAAGATATCGCCTTTACCACAGGTGGATACTAGTAGTGTCACGTCAAGGTACGCGTTGGTAGACACGATTATCCTTACCCAGTTTCAAACTCACAAAGGGCGGTTAATGACCGTGGCAGTGTGTGGCAATGAAATATGTCTTGCAACGACGATTGTAGTAGAACATCTAGATGTCTTGCTTTGGATATGGTGGCCGCAACGTCTGCAGGTTCCACATTTGCATGTCAAGGGAGCGGATGTCTCTATGACAATTTCTGAGAGCATGGATACTCCAGAACAGGCATTATTTCTATTTGATGCACCTCATACTGTATTACATGTTTTACGAACGCCTAACCTCATTACTGGGAAGGGGGAGTTGGAGATAATTTTCTCTGTGTCAACAAACTGCCCTCCCGTCGTACTTCCTTGCTTGCGTCCTTCCATGATGCAGCCTGTTATGTTGTGTCATTATCCGGTAGTAAATGAGGTGACGATTTATCATGTTCCAACGCTCTTGGAGCACCCTTCCCCCTCCACTAACGTGACTACCATGTCTCTTACACCCACACTGCCATCAAAGTTCAAGTTGAGTGGTGTGTTGTACCAGACTGGCCCCACAGTTGCTTTTCAGACCAACTCTTGTTCCTCTAGTAATGAAGCTTTAAAGGGGGAAAATAATATAAATGACTTGGAACGTAAATCGTATGTTGTTACTTTTCCTTCTCTATTGGAGGAGCAACACCCGCTGGTACATTTTATATTGGAAGCGCTTGAATTGGTTCTAGAAAGAGGTTGTGTCGCATCTCTGCAGTGTGAGTTGCTACGACGTGCATGGGAAAGTAAACAGATGGGAGAGGTGTGGGATTTTGGGAGTGGCTGTATTGAATTGATTATAGACATTGTCCGTACAAGTATAACAGGGAGAAGCAGAAGAAGCAACAAAATTGATAATCACAGTAATAATAATAGTCTTGAGGACGGCGGTGGGGGGCGTGCATGTCAAGAGGAAGATACGAGTTATTCTATCATAAATGCTTCAGTGTATGGAGAAGAAATGCGTCTGTGTGACATTCTCCTTCATCCCATTAGTTTAACTGCCGATGTGTTGCAACATTGTACATCATGCACTCCATGTGCCCCGGAACAGAAAGCTCGTGAAGCCCTCTTCTCGGGCATGGGTGTAAGTCATCTTTGGACACAGCATCAATGTGGGCTCAGTGTATTTGTTTTACATCTTCTGTGTGAGAGCTTCAAGTTGCAGGAGCAACTTTGGGCTTTGCTTGAGCCACTGGCGAAGATGAACCTTCAGTTAAGTCAATTGATGCGGTGGACACAATATATCTGGTACTACTCCACCTGTCTCTGCGTGCCTGCGACAAATGGCCCCCCACTTCACTGTCCTGTGGTCTCGCAGTCATCGCTATCTCACGAATTTCAGCGTAGCTTGCCTGAACATATTCTTCTTGAAAAGTTTGTCTTTCATGCTGGTTCGTCCAAGGAAGCTGTTCTCAGGGGGGATCCTCCAATGCTGTACACCATCCTGCAGCGCGTCCTTGTAGGTAAAGCACGAGTGTCTGGTGGATGGCCAGCCATTAAAGGTGTCCTCCCTAGTTCTCCTCTTTCTGTGGCGAATCGTCTGTTTTTTATGTTTGTGGATTGCTTTGATTCACCCAAAGAGCAGCATAATCGTGTACATTGCTGGTGGTTTGTTTTATGCAGGGGGCTTTTAAAATATTCTATTGATCCAAAGTTTGTTGCTTCGGAGCTTTGTGTCGGGGTGGCGCAGCCGATTGTGCGCGCTTTGGTGATTGCCAAGGATCAGGTGAATAATGCTTGGGATAATGATTTTAACGCTGTCATTGGTCGTTTGGATTGCTTGCAGCAGGCCCCAGCACAGGTATGCCATGCGAATTCATCTGGTGATGTCGTGCGTGTCGCACAGGAGCGGGCCGTTGGACGGCAGTACTGTGCCACTCTGAATGACGACGATGGTGTCATTATGCGACCCGACTTCCCGAAGCACTGGGGTGACTCCCGCCTGGATATTGTGCAAACCATGTTGAACACCGCCGCCCCTATTGTCTTGCCAAGTCAAGTGGATGGGGCCGATGTCATTTACAATTCCTTAAAAATGCTTTCTAGGCGTGCCACTGCTCTTCCAGTAGGACGTGGCATGTTCACACTTTGCACGCAGAACTTTGGGGTTCGCGATAGTGTGCCAATTCCACGCCTGAATCTTGAGGGTCGAACAAGTGATGGAATTACAATTGCAAATAACTCTGAGGAAATCGCTGCAGAAAATTTAATATGGCCATTGTTTCACAATGGATGTGCGGCAGCTTTGCGTTTTCTTCCATTACCTCAAAGTCATGGGTCTGGGAAGGAGGAAGAGTCCATTACACAACACTGGGTTTTGTACCAAACTCGCAATATTGCGTGTCTAGCGTCTCGAGCTGGATTAATTCTTGCTGCAGGACTCTTGGGACATTTAAAAGTGCTTCAGCGAACTGATATATATTCGCTTCTTGTTTCACCTCAATCCACGTTTTCTGGCCGTGAGGCGGTGACCATTGCCGTGTTGCTGGGTCTTAGCTGTAGTCTACGGGGAACGTGCAATAGCATTGTTTTTAATTGCCTCTCGATGCACGTGCAGTCTCTCACCCCCGCCACCGAAGACATTGAAGTTTCTTTGGACGTTCAAACATCCGCGTTGGTTTCCATTGGAATCCTATACCAACAATCTCCAGATGCCTTTCTAGCGGAAATGATGCTTGTTCAGATGTCACGTCTTCCCTCAGATGAACACTTTCGCGATAGGGAGGGATATGCCCTAGGTGCAGGGTTTGGCCTTGGTCTCATGTTTCTTGGTCTTGGGGGTGCGCATGGTGTGCCAAATGTTGAGAATCGTTTATTAAAGTTCATGGATGGGGCACGCCGAGAGGCGGTCCCCTCTGCGTGTGAAGGTTTAGAGGCATTTAACGAACGCAATCCTGATCGTGGTCACTTTCTTACCCGAGGATTACTAATGCGTAACGCCAACGATTCTTTTAGGAGTCATTGTACGCGCGTATTTGAGGGTAACCGGTTCAATACAGCTGTCTCTGGTCCGGCAGCCGCTGTGGCGCTAGGTTTTATGTACATGCAGACAGACGATGCCTCCATGGCGGAAAAGGTGTCCCCTCCGAATCGTTTGGTGGGGTTACAAGGCATATATCCGGAGATGTGTCTGGTGCGATCTATGATGTCTTCTCTTATCCTTTGGTCGAACATTGAACCCACATGTGAATGGATTCGACAAAGGATTCCTTCATGTTTATTGCGACTTGCAAAATATCCTCAACGGAGTGGACTTGCCCCTGCCCAAATTTATTACCTTCTGATGAATCTAGGGCATTGCCTCGCTGGTGTTGTACTGGCTCTGGGTATGCGTTACGCCGGGTCCATGGACGCTGATGCAAAGGCGGTTGTTCTCCACGAGTTGAAGGGTTTCATGCGAGGTCATATTGGAACCACAGGGGTGGTGATTAGTGTTATTCAACGCTCTACAGGGGCTTTTCAAGCATGTATTTCGGCATGCACAGTGGCGTTGGCTCTTATTATGACTGGGACAGGCGATTCCAGGTGTCTCGAAGTCATACAGAAACTTCACACGCGCACGAATGTGAAATATGGCGATCATCTTGCACTTTCTATGGCCATAGGGTTGCTATTTCTTGGAGGTGGTCAACTTACACTTTCACATTCACTCAGTTCCGTCGCGGCGCTTGTTATGTCCTTCTATCCGCTGTGGCCCGACACCAGCTCTGATAACAAACTCCACTTACAAGCACTTCGTCAACTTTATTGCCTGGCGGTGGTGCCACGCGTAATTGAAACAATAGACGTTCTTACAAATCAATCGGTGTCGGTGCCTATTCGCGTCATTGTGCATCGTGGGCGTCTCGGTCAAACTGAACCCTCGAGTGTTGTGAAGGAGTTATGGACTCCGCTGCCCAAGGGAAAGGAAAATCAGGCTGTTCGCATGGTGACTCCTTGCCTTTTGCCTGACCCAAGTACAATCACACAAATTGAAATACGCAGTGCACAGCACCACAGCCTTACCATCTATAACACTGGCTTAAATGTCGTTGGAGATGCGGGTCTCGTTGTTCGTGTCTTGGAGAAAAATGTTGTCCATACAGATTCCGAAGCCTCTTTACGAAGTCCCGCTGAGGAAATTGTGGTGTGTTGGATCAAGCGTCTTTTTCACGTGGAGTCGCAACAACAGCCACGTCCCATTGAAGCCATTGTTATTCTTGATAATGTTAATTTGTTACTTGCGGCGAAGAAGAGTTTCTTAACGGAGTTTGGTCCCTCTGAAAATGTGTTTTCGCCAGATTTTGTCATGAACGTGCGGCGCACGCTAGTAAAACGCTATGGATGCCTCCTGCAGCACTGTGGGGTGATGTCACCCTGTCATCCCCTTTCCCAGCTTGTTATGATGAGTAGATCACTCTACAGCACAGCCCTATCACTAGTGCAGACCCTCAAAGATGGTGCAGAATGTTCCTGTGATCTTTCCCCTGTTTTGGAGTCCCTGCAAGCATATGGTATTGTTATCGAGGCTAAAACCGAGATTGGAAATGTACGCTGTGGTCTTCTCGTTTTTGCTGTCATGAAATGGCTCTCTCAAGCCTTACATTTTTATGGTCTGGTGAGTAGCATAGCGTCGCTGCCGCAAATATTGGCGGAACACACATCATTTCTGCAGCGGCGAGAGCAGCGCTTGCTGGCGCTGTACGTTATGAACCAAAAGCTTCTCCTTGAACCCCAAGTACTTGAAGACCTCGTCGAATGCTGTGTGGAGTACACGGATTGAAGTGAATCTGCATGGTTATTTGTTTTATTTTCCATTTCATTCTGGTGTTCTGCACCTCTTGGATGAAAGTCACCTCCAATGAATTTTGTGGTATTGTGCCATTTAATTTTTGTGAGAGTGGGATATAGAGAAAGAGACGGTGAAGTGAAACCACCTTTCGATTTGTTGTTATGTGGGCATGGGACAGGTTGAAGTGGGAACGCTGTGAACAAAACGGATACTTTGTGTGTGCGTGTGTTGTTGTTGTTGTTGTTGTTGCGCTGTTCCTTTTCTTCTATTTGAGGTGGGATGTAACGGGAAAAATCCATACCACAGATGTTGATTTTGTTTCTCTGACTGCTCTCTTGTCTTTCAGGAAAGGAAAATAAAGGTGACAGAAGCCACAGGGCCTTTATCAAGTGATGGATGACGACAAACTTGTCATGTTTGACGCCAATGGCGCCATTCGCATGTACGACCCCGAAAAGTTTGACCAGCTGCTGAAGGCAATTGAGGTGGAAAAGCGCTTTACAAGCCATATGGATGACTTCAGGAATGTGGTGAATCAGACCATGTCGATTGTGGAGCAGCTTGGGAAGGCCATCGAGCACGAAAAACTCAGGGCCATTGGGTCCCGCAACATTGTAGAGAGCGAGGCGGAGGAGCGTGCTCGCACGGTACAGGAGGCGCAGGTACGCCTTCGCGAGAAGCAGACGGAGCTGGACCGCTACATCGCCGAGTACGACTCCCTCCGCAAGGTGGAGCAGGAGCAGCAGCTCATTATTCAGCGCCTCAGTCAGTCCACGCGGGATTGAGGCAGGAAAAACACTATATATATATATATATATCCTGGTGGATGGGGCCAATAATGTGGAACAAGGAGAATGAAGAGGGGAGTGAAGTAGAGAAGTATGACTTTCCTCCTTCCCACTGTCAGCATTCACCACCACCCTTCCCAGCACCAATTTTAGGTGTGCGGCTGCTCTTGCATGCATTTCTTTTGTTTTTAATTCATTTCCTTTGTCTGTTGTCATGTCGCTCTGCCCCTTCGGATGCTGGCGGGACACAGGAAGAGGAGGAGGTGGTTGCACCCAGCATTCACAGCAAGAAGAAGAAAAAAAAAAACAGCAGGCAACTCTTTAAACAAAGAACTCCAGGGGGGTGGGGCGTAAGAGGTCACGTGTCACATGTCTCATTTTGCACTGTAGGCGCGGGTCGGCACACATGCACACACAGCTGTAACAACGTCCCTTCTACTAGTAGTACTTATGTTATAGAGCTCATCTTACGCTGCTGAGGAAGCAGTGGAAGAAAATGGAAATACAGAGTTTTTCTCAAAAGGGCAACTTGGGAACTGACGTTTGAGTGAGTGAGCGAGGGTTTTTTTTTCCTGCCCTTTTGAGGATAACGTCGACTCCTACGAACAAGCTCTGAATGCCTGAGGATGAGAGGTCGAGGAACATGTGAGTAACAGACGCGACGGGAAGGAGAAAGTGAGTGTGAACGCATCTGATCAAAGGGTCAATTCTTTACATACACATGCTGCCAAACCTCGCTTTGCTGACGGACCAAATATTTGATGGCAAAGTTATGTGCAAGAGTTATTCAAAGTATCTTTTTTGTGTGTATCTGAGGAGGAGGAGGGTGGGTGGGTGGAAGACTGTCACCTGATTTTTTACAACACATTATTGGAAGTAGGCACTTGTTTTATTATGTTTGTTTTTTGTGTGTAGCAGTGCCGCGGGAGGGATCGGCAGTTTCCCTCAAACTGGAGCGCCCTCACAGAAATTATACATGCATTTTATAGGGCTGAAGGTGGTATTTTTTTAATTTGTGTTTGTAAATTGTATTTGTGCTCATGTCTGCATTATCCACGTTGCGAGATGTATACTTTTTTTTTCATGTATCTTTTGTTTTTATTTGTATGTGTACCGTCCAGTTGAAACAAATAATAGTAGTTTTGGCATTCATTATAGAAAGCCTTATTTAGCTGAAGTGTGTGATGCGACGCCAGTCAGTTCGGACGTGGTTCGATGGTATTACTATCGGCAGCCTTATGTGGGTGGGCGCCTTAGTGCGCCTACTCCTTATTGTCTACGCGTATTTTCATGACAGCTGGTGTCGCATCAAGTACACAGATATTGACTACATGATTATTGTGGATGGGGCGCGGGACATGTGGCTGGGGGGTTCACCCTTTGATCGAGCAACATTTCGCTATACACCTCTCCTTGCCGTCCTCATGCTGCCCAGCGTACTGGTGGCAAACCCGCTTGGAAAGCTGCTGTTCACCTTGTGCGATTTGGGTGCCGCCTACTACTCTTATTTAGTTATTGTAACCTTTGCCACGGAGCGGAGTGCAAAGTGGATGGTGTCTTTCTTTATTCTATTTAACCCCATTGTGCTGAACGTCTCAACTCGTGGAAATAGCGATATGCTGGTTACTTTTTTGAGTATTCTCGTGTTGGCGAAGTTCACGCAGTCAAAATACTTTCAGGCAGCTGCCGTACTGGGTTTTGCCATTCATTTTAAGTTATACCCTGTGATCTACGTTCTTCCCCTGACGCTTAGCATGTTGGAGCGCGCACAAGCTGACACTATTTCACGCAAACTAAAACGTGTTCTTCCTGAGCTAACGCTTTGTGGACTTCTCGTGATACTTTTCTTTGCAATTCCCACGATGGTGTGCTACCAGTGGTTTGGCCAGCAATACCTAGATGAAGCGTTTATGTACCACTTGCGTCGTGAGGATCACCGTCACAATTTTTCTCCGTATTGGTTACTTATGTATCTCAATATGGCAAGCCGTCATCTTGGTGTGGGAACCGACTATGTTCCAGGACTTTTTGCGTTTCTCCCTCAGGCTCTTGTGTTGTTATTCGTCTCGTACAAGCTGCGTCGCAATGTTGCCCATGCATGTTGCGTTCAAACAATGCTCTTTGTTGCCTTCAATAAGGTGTGCACCGTGCAGTATTTTGTGTGGTTCCTCCCTTTTATGGCGTTTCTTTTCTCTAAGCCTCGTGAAGGTGAGGGATGTGAGAAGCTGCCGGGGTTGTTCCAGACGATAGCCGCTGTCTCTTCCTGGGGCGTGATGATTCCACTGTGGATGCTCACCGCTGTTCAGTTGGAGTTTCAAGGCCGGAGTGACTTTGGGAGGTTGTGGGTTGTCTCATGTGTTTTTTTTATGGCGATGGTTGCCCTTTCCGCATGGCTCACCCGCATCGCCTACAGGATTCAAGAAGTTGCGGCGCAACAGAAGAGGGGGAAGAAGAGTACGGTCAAACTTGCGTAACCTCAATGAGGGAATACAACAAAAAGACTTTAATAATAATAAAACTTGTCTGCGTGTGTGTGCGGAAGGTTCTGGAGAGACAGCATGGATAGTGGAGATTGAAGTGTCGCATGTCAGAGAATCTCGGGAGAAGCAGGGCAGATAATAAGGCATTGAAGAACGTTTGGGCACATATGCAAACAACTGCTGCAAGTGGGGCAGTGCTGTGGTGGGTGGATCAAAAGGAGCCTTGAAGCGAAATAAGAAGAAATACGATACGGAAATGTTGCGGTATCACGTAAATAAATGCATGTATATGTATTATTTGGTCTTTACTTGGTGCTTGGTGTTGTTGGGGCTATACCGTCATCCGTATTTGTGTACGTGGTTTCCTGGATTGTTGCTCTTTCTTCTACCTGTTTTTGCTTGTGGGGTTTTCACTTTAAATAGAGGAATTTAAAACAGGTACAGGCACAAGCACAAGTTTTTTTTAAATTATTATTTATTTATATTGCAGGTTGCCTTCTGCTGGTCTATAATGGAACCTCAACACAATGTCGTGGAGAGCAACTACAAGGCAGATGTCGCATGCTGTAATGATGTTGGAGGGCTCTTTGTGAGTCAGCGCCTGCTTTACATTGGCCTCGCATTCTTTTTGTTTGTTGTTTTTTTTGTAATTGCATGGTCAGTACTGAAGAAGTATTATCCTCGGTTTATGTGCATGTCAGTACAAATTCAGTGCGACGTGTCTTCTCGCATAATATCCGCCCTCCATACGATCATTGTAGTCCCAAGCTTAATTGGCGGAGTTGTCTCAATGAAGTGGGGAGACCACTTTGAGCCGCTCAGCGATGTATCATTTCTACAGGGATTATTCTGCATCAGTCTGGGGTACTTTTTGTACGATACCATAATATTATTGCTGTATCGGCAACCGAACTGGATTGGTTTTATTGTTCATCATGCGGTATCAAGTATCCCGTATGTTATTTACCTGTTTGCAGGCTCTTGCCCATATGGGTTGTTTATTCTTGCCTGTTTTATGTTGGTGGAGGCGACAAACATATCACTTCACATACGAAGCACTTTGGAGGAAAATGGCCGGTGCAGCACTAAGCTCTACACTGTTGCACTCTACAGTACCTGCATTTTATGGATTGTGTTTCGTCTCATCAACCCAACAGCCCTTTTAATTATCACACATAAGTACATCCTTCCAAGCCTTCCGCCTAGGCATGCATCGTGTTTGATTCCTAGTTTGATTTGTGCCTATGTCATTAATTTCTTTTGCTACGCTGTCTTTATTATGTTGTGCAAAGAGGTGCTGACCCACCACGGAAAATTGCCTCATATGGGAGGTGTAGTTTCCATAGATTCAATACAAGTGGGGGAACAGTGTCTGTCATGTACAACAGCGTATGATCATGACGCAATGGAATTAAGGCAATTACATCACTGTATATATGGGGACTATGAAGTTCTTCTGGAGCATCTGCCAACGTCTGAGTTGAAAGTAGATGGTAAAGCCGCTGAGCCCATGAAGATCAATGCCAATGAGGCGCCTCCCACATCATCCCTCCGTAATGGGGGAAAAAAGGATAGCAAATGAATGAGAAATGTGAGGCTGTGCTACAATAACAACAACAACCTTTTCGTTGTGCTGATGTGTATTTTTTTTCTACAAATTTCTATGAGGAGAACGAAGATGTAGCTGTTTGGTTTTGGTTATTCACTAGTCGAGGGGAAGGAAGGCAGTTGTGTCTTGACTACATTCTACTCCACCATCTATTTCACCCGTCGTTTCCTTTTGTTCATGTGTTCTCGTGACTTGTCTGGTATATTTTGTCTGTTTGTTTCTTTTTTTTTTTTTGTTGTGTGACTGCCTTCTTGTGTCGTGGTTGTACTTGTTGTTTTTTTGACGCCCACCACCATCACCACTACTACTAACCGCCAACCTTGTCTTCTTGACGTATGTGCGTGCGTGCATGCAGGATACAGAAAGGGAAGAAGCCATATATATATATAAACAAAGAGAGAGTGTGTGTAACATAAGAGGGGGCATTGGATATTGCGCTATATTATTAGAATGACCAGCTACTTTGCCGGCCTATCCTTGCGGGAGATTTACGAAAAGAAATGTGTGGAACTGCACTGCCGCAAGAACTCTGCTATCTGCAATTTTTTATCTGACGTTCCGGACGAGTATGAAAGCTTGACCCTCATTGACCTTTCCAAAAACTTTGTAGGCCCAAAAGGCATCCTGCCACTCCTGGAGATTGTCCGCTGTTGCAGGAACATCCGTACCCTTGACTTTCGTGAACAACAGCTGGATAATGAGGCCACCGATGCTATCTGTCTCGCTCTGCGGCAACACCCATCCGTTGTGCGAATAAACCTTTCAGACAACCCTCTAACAATGAATGCAGGTGCATCACTTCTACATCTTGTCAAGGATAATCCGGTGCTTGAGTTTGTACTGCTCGATGGGACCGGCATCAGGAACTCTATTATGCAGGCAATTCAATCCCAACTAGAGCAAAATAGAAGGCTAAAGGAAACGGTCGCGGAACTGGAACTGGAGTTGTTGGCCTCACTAGCTAGCAGAGGTACAAGTCATTCCTCAGGTGGGGAGGATCATGGTAAAAGGTGTGCCTCACCTGTTCAAATGATTCGTGCAGCAGCAGCAGCAGCAGCCAAAAGCGGTTCAAATAAACTCACCTTGGACGTGGCAATATCAGCAGCCATGTATGACGATAATTCTGATCGAAAGCGATTAAAGGACCATGATGTAGAAGTTGCATTACTTTCTTTTTCGCACAAGGTTCATGAGGTTCTCTATGATGATAATCCTATTCCCATCATAGCTCAGCTTTGTGAGCGGCAACATGCTTGGTTTTATGACCAGCAGTTTGCTGCGGATGATGTAGCTGTTCAGCATCGTGCTACCACACAGTATTCTATCGCTGGATGGCGTCGTGTGGGAGACATTTACCCCTCCGCAAGACTATTTCCTGATACAAATGAAGAAAATCGTCTGGTGCTACCAAGACACTCTCCTCTCTCCTTTTCATGGATTTTTGTATGCGTGGATGCTGCCTTTACTGACCTGGATAGCCTCCAAAGCACCGTGTTGGGTTCCTATTCTTTGGGGCATGGCGTGTACGGGTTGCGGGTTCATATTGATGGAGAATGGCGATACGTGGTTGTCGATGATCTTCTTCCTGTAAATAACAAGGATGAGCTCATCTTTACGCACCCAGTGGACGGAAAATACTTCTGGCCATGCATTCTTGAGAAAGCCCTTGCGAAGTTACATGGTGGATATTCGGCTCTGAGCCTTGTTCCCTTTGACAATGTCCGTGCGAAATTAAACTTTGGGGCAGAACGAAACAGCCGGTTCTCAAACGTTCGGGCAGGTAGTATTTTTGCTTTTGAAGGGATGGGCAATGGTATTAATCATAGCAATAATGAACGGCAAACAAGTTGTGCCAAAACTCTGAGTGACTTGAGTGGTGGAGTTGGTATTGTACGTTACCTAAACCTTGAACATTTTCAGGCCGATGAGTGGTGGCTAGCGATGTTGGAGTTCCACAGTGCGGGGACTTTGATGGTGGCACTAAGTGGGCCAGCAAATAGGACACTTTCCGGCATAGAGCCATCACATGCCTATCATATTTTGCAGGTACGGCAAATAAATGGGATGAGACTTATTGAGCTTTCCAGTTCTTGGACAACAATGCAATGGAAAGGGGATTGGTCAGAGGAATCAGTGCAGTGGCACCGATATCGTGATATAGATGCCGCTCTCCGAGGTAAACGATCGTCTACAAGGGCCTTTTCTTTTTGGATATCATACGTAGACTTTATAGCTGCATTTACTCAGGTTCACTTATGCCATATTTTTCAGGGCTTTTATCAGCGTGTTATAAATGATGAATGGGATAGAAACAGCGCAGGTGGGTCATGCTATGGAAATAATTGGCACATCAATCCTCATTATCAGCTAAAGATAACTCAGGAATCTCCTTTTTTAATTAATCTTGCTGTTCCTGACACCCGCTTCACACCAACAGATATTGACTCTCTTGCTCTTCACATTATTAAGCAGAAACAATACCCTGTTCGATATGGAAATGGTGGCGAGAATGCTATTGTGGCAACAAAATACGTATTGACAGATTCTTTATCGTTTGAAGGTGTTATGAAGGGAGGAGACGACTATTGGGTAATACCAAGTTCCCATACTGGTGGAGTTATGGGTAAGTTTATTCTGCGTATATTTAGCCAGTCTGGATTTATTATTTGGAAGGAAGATCCTTCGTATCATTGGAATATACTTACCTATACTGACACACTAGAGTGCAGTGGGGACTATCGCACAGGGGACGATAATAACCAAGTTGTGCTTAGTTTTAACCCTAACACCAACACTGGGAATTTGAGGTCTAAAACGGGGTCACTTGTTGTAAAGGCACGGGTACCTGATGGTGATCAAATTGCATTGGGCATGTTTCTTATGAAAACGACTTTGGTGGATAATAAACCCTCACGATCTGTTGGAGTGTTACGTGAGGAGTCTATTGTGGCGACAAGTCCGTTTGTTTTGAATGAAGCTGTCTATTTGGAGGCAGAGGTGCTTCCTGGGGACATGTACACACTTGTGACATGTGTTCATCCAGCTGGATCCCAAGCAAGGCTGGAATTTACTATATGGAGTTCGCTCCCGTCACCGCAACTTATGCCGTTACCTGTATGGTCAAAGAAGAGTGTAACAGTGACGTGGCCACAGGGAAGTGGCTCATACTACGAGGTGACACGAAATCCGCAAGTTGAAATTTACCCTGCAAAAATGTTTGACACTTTTGTAATCCGAATGCAGATTGTCGACTGCAGTTACAAGGATCCCGCGATTGTTTTTTTTGTGTTGGCCAATGGTGGCCGTCAAGGTGAAGGTATTAAAGGGCAAATACCAGCCGATCGGATGGTGATGCGTTCAGAGTATGTGCGACACCACGTCGTTCAGTGTGAGCTTCTAATAACAGAGCCGATGGACTCCCTGCTAGTGCTGCCGTGCCTCCAACCGGCTGGTTCCTTTGGGGAATGCACAATTAGCGTCGCAACAGAAAGTGGTGAGTTTATGGTACGAGTTCTCTCCACTGGCTGATATGTATCTTAAAAAAAAAAAAAAAAAGAGGATACGGTGTTCCTCCTGGCTGGGACACACACACACACACACTGATGTTTTTTTCCTGATTTTAGAGCAGAGGAACATATATATATAAATAAGGAGGAAGATTTGAGGCGTTTAAGGGAGTATTGTTTCAGCGCTGAATGAAGTACTTTCTAAATGTAAAATACATAAATGTGTGATTTTGACTTCTTCTTTTTTTCTTTTCAGAAGCGGTCGAGTGGCGTGCGGGGAAGGCACGACTGTTGTGGATTTATCTGGCATTATGCTGACCAGGGTTTATCTCACCGAATGGGTTATACGCAATTGTTCTTCTAGTTTCTGAGCCATCACTTCCAATGATTATTACTTTTTTTGTGCATGTAAGTGCGCGTGTGTGCTTTTAACTTTGCCTGCACGGAACTCACGCCAGACCGATTAAAGAAAAAAAAAGGATAAGAGGATACGCAAGAAATATATATATATATATATATATAGTGACATAAATGGAGCGGCCACAACCTCCCGCGATATCGTCTGCCCCTGACGAACAGAGACCTTCCACCCATGAGGCTCAAGGTTTCACTACTGCAACTTATGCCATGGAGATTGTGCCAGTTAATGTGTGGATGCGTCGATTTGCTTCGGTGATTGTTGCTCTTCTTTTCATTTTTGTTATCGCCAGCTCGCCGAGGACGTTGTGGACTGATGTGTTTATTTACCACCCGATATTTATGTTCATTGCCTTCTTTGCTGTGGTTCCAGAATTGATCTTCTCCATTGCTGCTCTCCAGGGTTATCTGCGGGAGATGCGACCGAGAAGTAGTATGTTGCGGGTACATCGCCGATGTGCACTTACCTTTAAAATTGTCTGTGCGGTTGGTATAGTTGCGGTAGAGTGGAGTAAATTCAAGCGATCCAAAATGCACTTTGTGACCTGGCACGCTTGCATTGGTGGTGTGTGTGAACTTTCACAAGTGTTAGAGACGTTGCTTGGTCTTATAATATTCCATGGTGTTCTGGATCACCGCCTTACAATCTCGCAACGTGCAACACTTCGTCTAGTTCACCGTCATCTTGGTGCCATAGTGATTGTGACTGGTGCTTTTTCCATGGCACTTGGTATGTTGTCACACTTTGCTGTAAGAACCTTTGAAATATTATTTCTTCGGCTTTTTTTTGCCATTTTTCCAACTGTTTTTGTAATATGGGCTTATTTTTGTTCTCTGTAGTTTTGTAAGGGTACCAGTGGACATTTGTTGTTGTGTTGTTGTTGTTTTGTTTGTTTTTAAAGTATATTTATTCTATTTATTTATTAGTTGTAATAATTTGATTGCTGAGACTGGGGAAGTTGCGGTTGCGCAGTCGTGAATCTCACGGACTTGTCACTGCGCTCAACATTGTACTTCTTCTTTACGTGGACAGTGAGATTCTGCCTTCTGCCATAGGTAAGGGATTTGTCTATGCATCACTGCTCTGCAGCACTTGCGGGAGTGGCGTCTTCTCTAAAGCATCATTTTCATCTCTCTATCTCTCTTTGTTTCTCCAGAAAATGGGCAAGCTAGGCGCCGGTCTGGATGTAAACGAGAAGCGCAAACCGGTGGGGTCCCTTTTTATGGAGGCAATGGATCGTGACTCCATTCCCCCACATGTTAGGCGGACTGTCTACCACCGGTTAGCCGACCGAAGCCTTCCCAACACCCCCTTTTCCTTGTACCCCGAAGAGCCGGGGCGCACACGTGTATTCCCCACGAGTGGGCGACGTCACTTTCCTGATCGAAACCGCAACAATCCTGTTGCGCCGGATCCACCGGAAGTGTCACCAGCACGGCGGGCGGTTTCTAGACAAGAGACTTCTCATCTTGATTGTGCGGCGCAGGCCATAAACGAAGAAGCGCCAGTGCATTACTCTCGACAGCGGTGTAGGCAGCCGCCGTTTAGCAAAGACCCAGTTAAAATGTCGCATCCGCATGCCTTAACAACTTTAAGCCCACTGAGGCGGAGTCGTCTCTTACTTGGTTCACTGACCCCGATGGAAGAACCCCAGAAGGAGCGTCCGGTGCCACCACCTATGATAAAGAAGCCGTTACGCTTCGGTAGGCGCCACACACCCGAGCCGCGTTCTGTGAGTGCTGAGCACAGACGAGTCGGTATTAAAATGGTACCTCCTCCCCCTCATTGGGAGAGTGCAACGGAAAGGCGTATGGCTTTTACCAATTTTGGCGTTGATGCCTGCAGAGTGAATGGCATTCAGCATAGAAACCAAAGTCAGTGGGAAATAGGCTTCAGTTCCCCTCTCCGGTTACATAGGAGTATGTCGACCGAAAGCAATGTGAATGACCGTACGACACCACCAGACGACGAGGTTCCACGGAGGGGGAGAAGATACAGCTCATCACCAGGCCGACGGAATGCCGATATTATATCCTGGATGCCACTGAAGTACTGTTAGATAGAGTGGGTTAACAAGTTGTGAAATAGAAAGAAGGATAAGCGGGGTGGGGGAGGAGGTTCTTTTGATGGGGTGTCGTTTCGTGTCGTCGCTCGGAAGAGTTAGAAAGAAAGAAGAAAACAAAACAAAACAAGAAGGTACAGGGTTGGACGCTGGATGTGCCCCATCAACGCAACCCTCCCTCTTGCCTATTTCCCCTCACCACGCTTCATGACATCTCTTTTACTCTCAGCTTTTGTTGCGTATTTTCTTTTGATTTTGCTTTTTTTGTGTATCCCTTATACTACCGCTTTTTTTGCTCTTTACTCTTCCCTCTTGCTTGCTTTTATTCCGTTAGCGTGACTCCGCTACTCAGGGTATTTAAAGCGTTTTATTGTTTAGTTTTTTTTTTTTTACAAGTGCACGTGTGACGTAATCACATTTGGGTGAGTATGGTGTTTTATTTTACTCTCGCCTCTGATCCTTCGCTCGTTTGCTACATGGGCCGTGATAAGTATGAAAATGAGCTACTTATCAAGCATGGGTGGCCAGAGGACATTTGGTTCCACGTCGACAACCACAGCAGTGCCCATGTGTACTTGCGCATGCCGAAGAGTAAAGAGATGGACGAGTTAACGCCGGAGGTGATTGAGGAGTGTTGCCAGCTCACCAAAGCCAATAGTATTGAGGGGTGTAAGCTAAATCACGTTCGTGTGGTATACACACCTTGGAGTAACCTGTTGAAGACAAATGGGATGGAGGTTGGGCAGGTGGGATTTCAGGTGGAATCCCTGCGTCGCTACCACACAGTTGAAAAGAAAAATAACGTTATGCTCAACAAGTTAGAGAAGACAAAAATCACAAAAGAAAATGTAGATTTTCAGGCATTGAGGGAGGAACGGGACGCAGAAGAACGACGGGAAGAACGGAAGGCTATGTTGGAAAAGCAACAACGGGAAAAGCAAGAGATGGAGGCTAGGAAGAAGGCAGCGGAACTCAAGTCTTACGCCTCTCTCATGGACGAAACGAAGATGCGTAATAATTACGAGGGAGTTCCGGATGAAGATGGCTTCATGTAGCGGACTTTGCTTTCGTTACAAACACAAAACACCTTTGATCTTTCGGTGTGTGTGTGTGTGTGTGTGTGTGGAAATAATAACTCTTGTACGGAATAAATATATGCATCTGTGGGATGGAGAGGAGTATGTTTGTAAATAACAATGAAGGGTTTATATTTTTTATGTAGAAGACTTTGTCATTCAGTTTTTAATGTCCAATTTGTTTTGTTTTTTTGTTTTATTTACTCTTCAAACATATTTGCTCCATTTATGTGTATGATATGCGTTTATGCGTGTACATGTGTGTATATATAGCAGTAATCCTTTACGGAAGGTTGGGAGTGGGTGGAAGGAAGGGGAGTCACATTAGAAGGAGGGTGCTGCAATGCTTCCAAGGTGGCGGCCGTCTATTTTTTGTCCAAATAGTGGTAGATTTCTTTGGCTTACTGCTATGAGGCATTCAAAACGTTCTATACGATGTAGAGTTGTTCCGTTCAAGACGTTAACATTACGCCATGTTGAAGAAGGAAACCCAGAGGCACCATCACGGCGTGAACCTCCTATGTCTATGCCGTTGGCATACATCCAAGAATGTATTACAGATATACAACAATATCGGACTGAAGATGCGTTGTGGTCAAAGGAAACTTTGCGTGAGGCATGGAAGACCCTTCATCAATCACTACAGACGGCCACGGAACGAGAGGATGTTGTACAAAAGCAGCACGTGATTGACAATGATCTAGTTGGTTTAGCCTTGTGCACCTCCTACGCTGAGTTGAAGCATCTCTTATCCATACTCTCGCCTTCTATACGTGATGCCGTTACCTCTCATCCATCGTTTTGTCATGCCGAGGTGGAGGAATTTTTTTTGCATCTTGGTCAGGAAATGGAGGTGCGAGGTGCCGGCTGGGTGGCTCAATTACCACCCCCATCTGTGGGCGAACTTCAGTTTTCCATCGAGAAGATAGGTCGCTTTGGTGAGGATGGACGGGGTTGTATTCGGAACACACCGCATCGTGTTTCCCTCTGGCGTGGCCGTCGTGGTGAGCCGCTTGGTGTTACCATTCGAGTAGGGCGGTATGTGCCGAACGTTGCTCAGGCTCTGATTCCATTAGCTCACAAGGGAAGTGTCCTAATTCTGTCTAAGGCAGGTATGGGCAAAACTACTCTGTTGCGCGATCTTGCTGCCTCGCTGTCTCGTGAGCCGTCAAAGCCGCGCGTCGTTGTCGTTGATACCTCCAACGAGATCGGAGGTGATTGCCCGATCCCACTTCCGTTTTTGGGTCGGTGCCGACGGGTTCAAGTTCCCCGTCGCGAGGATCAGGAACAAATCATGACCCAAATTTTACAGAATCACGCTCCTGAGTATGTCATTGTGGATGAAATCGCCACAGCTTCCGAGGCTGAAGCAGCTTGGTCGATGACACAACGAGGTGTTCACCTTATTGCGACATGTCATGGAGAAAGCCTTGAAGGATTGTTGCAAAATCAATCGCTTAACCTTCTTGTCGGTGGCGCAGCTCAGGCGTTTCTTAGTAATGAAGAGCGGAGGTTACGAAACAAATCTAAAAAAACAATTCTTGAAAGGCCCCATTTGTCACCGTTTCGTTTTGTTGTTGAGCTAAATGCTAGAAATAAAGCACACGTTTATACAGACGTTAATGCTGCAGTGGACCTTCTCTTGGACGATCAAGATGCGAAGCACAACGCTTCGGTGGGGCAGACGGTTATGTTGAACCGCCAACCTTCGGGTGATTTACTGAGGGCAGTGGAAGACATGAATAAGGTAGCGCAGTTGAGTACAAACTGTCATTTAGGAGGCTGTAGAATGTTGGAGTCTGAAAGGGACGACGGCAGTGATCTTTGCCACGTTAAGGTTTCTTCTAATGGGCAAAGGTCCCAAAAACAGTGGGTGGGTGAACGCATAAAGAAATATTCTCGTGGTAGGAAACGAACGGATGAGGAATTCTTGGAAGATCTCCAGGATTTTCTTTGAGGGCAGTTTGTAGTGGCGTCTAATGACCTGTATGGTATATACTTGAACAGTGGGGAAGCAGTCGCTCCTGTTGAAAGGGCAACCCGGCGTAATTGTCATGCTTGTTACTGCTGTTGTGCGTGTTTTTGCCCTCCTTGAAAGATTACCACTTTTTTAAAAAAAGAGTGCTTTGGGGGTCCACAACGGCGTGGCCTCTTTGGTTTTTGTCTTGTTTTATGTATTTCTGGAGTTGTTTGTTTTTTTCTTCGATTCGTCGGGGCGGCTGGCGCAAAGTCGAATTTGAAGAGATGTTAGGGTCGGGTGTGAGGTCAGCGCTGCCGGCCCTGCGGCTTGTCTGTGGCCACCGCGCCTTGACTGCCCGAGGCTTTATACGATGCAAAAGTAGGTCTTCTACGACGCCCACGTCCGATCCAGGCGTCTGCCGCCAAACGGCGCAGACGTTGTTTTCGTTGGAGCGTTTTCACCGGCAGAGCGACTCGGAGACTGAGCGGCGGAAGGTGGAGAGCCAGGCCTGGCGTGAACTGCGGAAACTCCCCGACGCCGTGGCAAATAGCGCATCCATTCACGATGTCACTGACATCGTTGGTGCATGGTGCTATTTTTCGCGGTTCTGGGCGTTAGGGATGCAGGGACCGGGGGGAACGGTTTGTGGGGGGCAAAACGAAGGGGTCTTGGCCGGGGAGGAGGACATTGTCGTCCCATTGCTGGAGCGCCGGGCGGCGCCGACACAGCCCCCCACAGCTAATGAGGCACCGCCACCGCGCACCAACCCGTTGGATGAAATAATTGAGTTTTGAATTGGCGATGCAACGGCCAAGCAGCAAGTAACGCAAGGAAAGCGGAACATGCACCATTTTACTTGGGGCTTTCCTTCGACAACATAAAATGCCAAGAGAGGGGGTTTGTTTTATTAGTTTCGCGCTGCGCGGAAAACAGCGCCAACAAACATCGCTTGTGGCGGGCAGCCCAAGGCGCCGCGCGGGAGGCGGGGAGGCTTTGGGCGCGGGGTTGGGCCTCCGCGCCAGGAAGTGCGTCGGTTAAAATGTATCCGGTGGCACGTTGGCCCTTTTCTCGTTTTTTTAAGTTTTTTTTTTTTTGCTTTGCATCCGTCGCCGCGTGTGCTTCGAGCTGGGCGAATGAAGAAGGGGCGGGGGATGGCCAAGGCCCCCCCGAGAGCCCCGCGCGCAATTCCCACCCTCCCCATTCACTATGTGGTGCTTTTTTTTTCACCCTTTTTCTTTCACTCCCAGCGCGACATTCTGGCCGACGAAGCGAAAACAACGACACGGCGGGCGTCGAGGGGGGCCCCGACGCCCGGGAGACGCAGTCCAACAGCGCCGGCACGCCGGCGGCCGCTTAGCACAGTGGCAGTGCACCACTCTCGTAAAGTGGGGGTCGCGAGTTCGATTCTCGCAGTGGCCTACGTTTTTTAGCGAATTTACCATTCTTCATCCGCGCGTGTAGTTTCGCCCCGTCTCTAAATGGGTGCCGTCAGCTTCACCTTCGCCACCGTACAAAGTATGTGAAAACTGAAAGCCAAGCGCTCATACCGAATCCGTTTCCTCCTCCAAGATTCCGTAGGAGCGGCGACGCCGCAATGTACGCCCGTCAAAACGCATTCCAACGTGCCGGAGTTCCTGCATGAAGCCGACGCCCAACAAAACAAGCTGCAAAACTCACCGCGATCCCTCCTCCAACGGACCAGCGACATCACCTCGATCGTTGCCGGCTGAGGGCAAATCAGCGGGCGCGGAGACCGAACGGATTGCAAAACAACCGAGCCAGTGGCTGGCCAAAGTGAAGCTTGGGCACCTCCAATCCCCCCAAAGCCAAATTTCGCTCGCCGGGCCGCAAGGGGCCCACAGCAGAATAAAATGTGCCCCGGCGCCGCCTCACCCACGCCGCTTCCAAATCACGGCGCCTCTCCCCACCTTGAAACCCTCCTTGTAAAATCCGCCGGCATCGTTGTCTGGCGTTCGCTCCACGGCAAGGATGGAGAAACAGTGCAGACGTCGCGCCTCTTGCTGAGAAAACCTCGACGCGAGTTCCCCACCCTCCTCTTCCTGATCGACGCGAACCAGTTCGATAGGGCGCTGGCCCCGGGGGCGGCCGAACTGGCCCGGGCGGGACTTCCACCGTGCGCCACGCCCATGTGCCCCCGCAGTGCGTCGCGTGAGGCACCGGTCCTCCCGCGGGGGGCTCAGAGGCTGCGGAC